ACCTCCACTACAAGCTTGAAGTGGTCAGGTGCACCCTCGCCGCCATCCCTGCTCGCTTCCAGTGGATTGAGGTCCCGATCATGTCATTGGTCCCAGTTTCTTGTAGCGCACTTTAGACCGTACATTGTCCCGCAGTGCCGCACCTGTACTTCGTACCCGACGACAACCGCACAACTTTGGTAGGTATCCCACCGACTTCCGCCCACCTCAGCTCGGCCAGTTGCACATGTTAGCTTCGCTTTCTGCCACAGAGCAAGGGTCGGGTTGTTCTTATCGTCGCACTAACACCAATTCGCTCTTCCATCACCACCAGCTAAAACTCTCGGGAGGATTCTGTCACCGACTTGACATCTCACGAGGTCTCAGAAAAACATAACCAACATCAAGTACAGAAATTAGCATCCGACATGTCAGCCCAGTTCCATGGCAATACCACGCACCCACGCAACCACCCCCTAAAAGACAAGACTAAATGTGACGTCAGGGGGACCCTACTGTACCAGTCGGGAGCTCCCGACCCTTGCTTTTCAAGGCATGGCGCGCGTCTTGCATGTGACGTACATGGCGACACACACACACACACACACACACACACTCGCCCCCAAAACAGACGCTGGCTAGCAGCACTGGGCGAAATGGCATTTGGGTAGGTTCTCCAATTGCCATGCCGGTAATTACCATGTGCTGAAATCAACCGTCCAATCTCTTCCTCTGAACAAACACGATTCCATGTCACTGGGAGAAGACTGTTTGCGAGTCCAAGTCGCAATATCTTGCTTTGAAAGGCAGGTAAACGACTTGCCACTCATCACATCCCGAGTCTCTACCTTATTCTCACCATCATCCATTTGTAGTAGTATTACTATCCATTCTCACTGCTTCGTCTTGCTTGTTGTCTCGGTTTGTTTTTCCAAGAATATACTCTACAAAGCTAAATAAGACGATGTCAAGTATGACGATAACAAGTATGACGATAACAAGGATGATCCGAAGTACGGAATTTAATAACAGGAGGTATTAATTATGTCCTGACCATCGGATTACTCTTTCACTCACTTGATAGATCCACTTGGCATATCTCTCGAGATTGAGCTCTATCTTACCTTGTATTCCACGCTCAAGTCGAGTACTGATACATTTCACCCCATGCCATTCATCGATGAGCTACGGCTACCTAGATACGATACGCTACTTGGACCATCCGCTGGAGCCTCTAGTATCAACATGCTCCAACCCATGCTCAGATCCTGGTCGACCTTCCCTCCCTCTGCAACGCCCACTCAACCGCCGCCTTGACATCATCCACAATCATCGTAGGCTTATGCGTAGGCGCGCCCCTCGTCTGACTCCAAACCCCCGTCTTCACCAGCAACGAAGCCCACTCCGTCTCCTCATTGCTATAATCATTCGCGCCCCGGATGTCGCTCTCCGGATTATCTCCCACCATGTACACCGTCTTCAACGGCGGCGCCTCCCCGTTGCCGCCGCTCTTCTGACCCAGCAGCGCCCGCCGATGCGCATCAAGCACCCGCTCCGCATACTGATACGTAGTCGCAAACGGCTTCCCAAACACCGTCCTCTTTAACTCCGCCTGCCCCGCCGTCACCTCCTTCCACACCCCCGCCACAGCCGCCTGGAACGCCCCCTGCCCGAACCGCGGCTGGTGATACGTCGTCGACCAGAATAGGTCCGCATTCGAAAAGATAAGCGGCGGCTGTCCGTCCTGCTGCCACCCGCCGTTGGGCAGCGACGCGTCGCCGTTCTTGGGCGAGTACGTCCCCAAAAGCCCCTCGCGCGAGAGGAGCAGGTCGGTGATGATTTGGATGTCGAGAGCCCAGTCGCGCGGGTCGTTGAAGACGAACATGGCGTCGATTTTGAGCGCGTCCGCGTCTGCTACGGTGCCGTCGTGGATGGGCTTGGGTAGGGGCTCGTGGGAGTCTGCGTAGACTGACTTTTTGAGGAGTTCAAAGGGGAATACCTCCGGGTGGGCGTGGATGATGTCTGCTGGCGTCACCACGTTCTTGAAGCCGTACCTTGTTGGAGTTGTCAGTTGATGTTGAGTTCGCCGAACGAACAAGCTCTCAAAAGGTTGCTGACTTACAGCTTGGCAATTTCTCTACACTTCTTTGCATCCGCACCCGTCAGGAAGATGGTCTTGTCCCCCAACCCCTCCGGCCCCTGCACTAGCTCCTGAAAGGGAGTGTGGGATTGGACAAAGTTGTCCACCGACAGCTTGACCCCGAGCTTGTCGCTCAAGTCCTTCACCCGGACGGCCTCGGGCTTGCCTCCGCCATTGGTCAGGAGGATGAAGGGGATGTTGTTGTCGTTGAGGTACTGGAGCGACTCGGCGGCCCCGGGAATAGGCTTGGCCACATGCAACAGAACGCCATCGATGCTGCTCTACCGTTAGTCACGGTAACTTCATGGTCATTGGTGGGTTTCTCGATCGTAATTTTCTGGGGCTCCAGAGCCATACGTGGCTCCCAAAGAGCTGCACGACCTCGCGTCATTGGGCTTGACTCACTCAAAAGCAAATGCAAACGACGGAGCTTCGCCCGCCTCGAAAACCGGCTTCTTGCTACTATACCACCGCCCCGCGCCGACAGTCTTAACATACGATAAGCTCGTCGAAGGCAGCGTAACTCTCCTCAGCCCGGAAAGCCCTCTCTCGTGACGCCCGATACCGGCAGCTGCGCATCTAAATGGTGTCGGTGAAGTAGTGAGTGGCCTCAAAAGGAGCCGACCGAGGCCCGTAACCTTGACTGCCTGTCTCATGACGTATAATGCAATTCCTTCAAATCAATTCGGGTATTCCAATATGCCGCATGCTAGAACGTGAAAGGAAATGGGTGTTGCTTCTGGATGTAAGAGTGATGATGAGTCGAGGTCGTTCGGCACGGTTGAGGTTGGAACGGCGGGCACGGATAACGGATAACGGTCAACACTGACTGAGCTCTGAGGTACCGTCCCCTGCAGGGAACCTACCCTTGCCGTCCAATGCTCTCCGCTCGCTAATTTTAGCGGCCAAGTCTCGACCTCATGTCCTGCCCGCTGCAGTCTGCAGAGAGCCGCGGGGTGCGTCTTGCGCCTTTGTTGAATGCAACGGTTTGAAACTAGCCAGTAATAGATGAGACTTGGTCATCGAGAGTAAGCTGTTTCTCGGTACATCTGAGTAAATCTTGGCTCAAGTCTTTCTTGACAACTTCTTTTCTTATTTGCCTGCTCGGCATTTTGCATCAATGTTGAAGGGTCGCAGCTTGGACATGCCCTGCTTGAGGAAATAATTTCCCGAGCTGTAATTGCTGGGCATCCATTTCCGTATCCATGTCCACGAGCAATACACACTGAATCTCCAATAAGTAGTAAATCGATAAGGTCATGAGGTGAACCCCGAAAATGGTTCTGTCGGCTGTGTGCTTTCAATGGTATTACAGTGTGATTGAGTGGTCTTGGAGCAACGATGGCTCAAAGGTCTATCCATAGAACAGCTGATGGTACATATTACACAAGTTGATACAGCCGCGCCTTCATCAAGTCTTTCTTCCAGATACTACCTACTCCTTCTTCCACCCTCCCTGCCAGTCGTTCATATGATCCAGAATAATCTTGGCCGCCTGGGACGGCGAGTGCTGCCGCCCCAGCGCCTCGACGAAATCGCCCTCGGGGTCCATCAGGTAAAAGTATATGCTGTGGTCGACGAGGTAGTCCTGGCCCGGCTTGACGTGCTGCGGCGTGCTGAAGTAGACGCGGTACAGCTTGCACATGGCCTTGATCTCGTCGTAGGTGCCCGTCAGGCCGATGAACTTGGGGTGGAACTCGGAGAGGTACTCCTTGACAACCTTGGGGGTGTCGCGCTCCGGGTCGCAGGTGATGAAGAGGGGTAGGACGGAGCCGGGGCGCTGCTTCTCGACGAGGTCGTACATCTGGGCCATCTTGTCGAGTTCGTCGGGGCAGATGTCGGGGCAGTGCGTGAAGCCAAAGTAGACCTGTGGCGAAAGGCAATGTCAGTCTTCTCTCCCGCCCCTTTTCTTATCTATCTCCGTGATAGAGATACCATATGGCTCCACGTACCAGTGCGTAGCGGCCCTTCATATCCTCGCTAGTGAACTTATTGCCGTCCTGGTCTGTCAACTCGAATTGTCCTCCAACCTTGGGCCGGCCCATGCCCTTTGTCGCCTCCGCAATGCGCTTGCGCTCCATGCGCTGCTTCTCGGTCTCAAAGTACCACGTCAGACCGACACCGGTTCCGACGAACAGCATGCCCGCCTTCCATGAAAAGGGCTGGTTCAGAAATCCAGTCAGCATGGCCACTCTCAATGGCAACAACACCCAAGTACGCTGGGAAGAGACCATACCCCTGCTCTGTATCTGCTCTTTGCCTCCTCCACAGTCTTGTACGCTTTCGTCCTCCTTTGCGCCGGCGAAGGTCTTATCTGGAGCATGCTCGGCGCGGCGGCAGTCGGCCGGGTCTGCTTAGGGAACGTCGCTTGGGAAATGCATCGCCGGCATTGTGTCGAAGTTGTAGAAGAAAGGGACTTCCACAGAAGCCTCGTGGTGGCTTGCGACATGGCTGAGGTAATTGAAGGCTTAATCAACGAGGTGCTCTAATATGACCGGGAAGTCTGGGATCCTTCGTCATTGGAAAATCGTAACACTCCAAAAAGCTCTCGGTGAGCTCGGGCCATCTTCCAAAATATTGTGGGTCGGAAGAACCATTGATGCGGCGTTCCTTCCCTCCTGTGTAGTTCACCGAAACAGACCGAGTACATGCCCATTTCACCGAGGTTGTTGTGGGTCTTTCTTAATGGGCCCTTCACTCTCACTCTCACTCTCACTCTGTAACTTCACTCAAGTGAACCTCAACACCCTCCATCGCGCAACAAACAAAACTGTCTTTCATTTTACTTTCTATCAAAGTCATTGTTTGTTCTTGCGCTACGATTCTAATACGCATGTTCCACTTTTAGACTGTCGCTGCTGTAAAATACATGTTGGAAGCCATGGATTCAGACGTGGAGCCAAAGATCAAAGGCGGCGAGGATGAGGATCTCGAGATGGCAGACGCGCCCGGCCATGCTCCCACCATGCTTCAAACGACACCTCAAAATGCAGAGGGAGAACAAACGAATTCAAACACTGCTCCTTCCTCACAACCCGATTCTTCGCTTCCGCCTCCAACCAGAAGAGCTCTCTCACCTTCCACCATTCTGGAAACCACCGAGAAGCCATCGGAATCTCAAAAGATGGGCCCGAAGAAGAAGGGAACCGCTGCGGTCAAGAAGGTTCCGAAGCGACTCAAGGGCGGTCCCTCGAAACCAAGCAAGCCCAAGAAGCAGACTGACGCGGGGTCCACGACATCATCTGCAAATCTACACGACGACTTGGCAGGAGGCTCGGATGAGGAATCTGACAACGGACCGTATTGCATATGCCGAGGTCCAGACGACCATCGATTCATGATCTCGTGCGACATGTGCGACGACTGGTTTCACGGCGAGTGTATCGGCATGAGCAAGGAGGTCGGCGAGAACCTCATCGAGCGTTTCGTCTGTCCTAACTGCTCAGACGGCGACCAAAACGTCAGTCTCTTTAAGAAGACGTGCTCCTACCGGAATTGCATGAAGGCGGCACGTCTCTACGATGGTCCGGAGAACAGCAGTGTCTTCTGCAGCGATGAGCACGCGCATCTGTTCTGGGAGAAGCACATCGCCGCCCTGCCCAAGAAGCATTCGTCCAAGAGTGGTTCACAGAACGGACTCACACAGGAGGAAGCTATGGGTCTATTAGCTAGCAAGCTTGCAGCCATCGATCCGGACGATGGCAGATGGAAGGTCCAAACCAAGCCGTTTGCTTCAAAGAACGTCGGAGGTACGTAAATGAGCTCAACGGCCCAACTGGAGTGCGGATTTTGACTAATTACTCATTGCAGCTGAAAGCCCGGAATCCAAGACTAAGAATCTTATACCGGCATACCTCACCCAGGAGGAGAAGGACATTCTCACAGTCTCGGCTGCCGAACGCAAGAAGCTGGGCGAAGAGGTTCAGCTCTGCCAAAAGATGCTCCAGCTCCTCGAGTGGTCCAACGACCGGCGAAAGGCCCTCATCGCCTCCAAGCAGTTCGAGGACGCCGCGTGCGGCTACGACTACCGCCTCGACCAGGTGGGCGTCGTAGGCCCCTTTGCCAACTGGCTCAAATCGGACGAGGCCAAGGAAGTCTACAAGGCGGGCAACCTGGACGTCGGCAGCCGGCTGAGCGGCGAGGATAAGAACATTTGCGACAAGAAGCGCTGCAAGCCCCATCAAGGATGGTACTCGATCCACACTAGAGATGTGAAGTATCAGATGAAGCTCCTGGCCGTGGACGCGAATACAAAGCTTGACGAGGAGCGCCGCATCAAGGAGGCGGCGGCGGAGCGGAAGCTGAGGAAGGAGGCGGAACACAACACTGTGCAGCTCGTCCTGCCGGATGGAGCTCTGGGCCCGCCCATAGCTACCTGAGATGGCACCTCGTTCCGATTTCTGAGATTCTTCATTGCGATGGCGTGGACAGGCGTTTCTGGGGACAAACAAGCTTGAGATATGGCAGTGTACAGCTAGACTATCTAAGCTGTGGCTAGATACTGGAACAGAAAGGCGATGTAGCCTAGTCACTTCGGAATATTTTGAACAGAATCACAAACACGGTTTGATACAAGCCCCAGCATGGTCATGATAGATGATGGCCTTGTTGAGTGCCTTCCCGTAGGGGCATGGGTACTATTCGGATTCCTAGATTCCTTACAAGCGGTAAATGTATCTCATCAGCCGACGTGTTTGTCCAGCATTCATAGTTCAAGGAGCAAAACAGATTATCAAGAGGTTAAGCATCTTGTGTTACCAAAATTCTGGAAGCAAGGGATCAAACACCCATCGACAGGTTGTTCACCTCGTAAAATCCCGAGTGACTAAGCACCCCGGATATGCCAAGATGTCAAATCGGCCCGCGACTTGTCTCTGCTTGTCTTTGATCCTGCAACTTTCCCACCAAATAGTTTCACCCATTTCACATCATCTCATTTAACCACTTACCTTACAACTTGTGTTGGCATGTTCCCCACGTCATCCTCCCAAGCAAAATCGACCACACAAAGAATGCGACAAGAAAACAACAAAGCCCCTGATTGCGAGCATTCCACCTCGTGTCCATCATGATATCCCACCCATGGCCCCATAGCCCCATTTCCCTTGCCGCCAAGTACAGAGCCGAGGAACCCGTCGTGCCCATCTTGGGTGTTTTGCTGTGCCTCTCTAACCTTCTCGGGGCTGGCGCGACCAGACTATCAACCCCAAATCTCCAAATCTCGTAAAAACAACGAACCCTCGAGGTGGCGCCAGGTCTATTATGCAGTCAGGCTAGCTCCAACGGCCCAGGTAGCCCTGCCAGGCGTGGCCACAAGAGGCCTTCTTCCCCATTTTTGCGGCTGTACTAGGAGCTCCCGCCATTGCCATTGACAGAAAAGGACGTGCGATCCCGTCGCCGTTGGCATCTGACTGTCCGGCCGGCGATACCCTGCCTTCTTCCTTCACCTGCAGTCTCGACAGCCTCCTGTTGCTAACGACCCATATCCCCGGTGTATCGAATACCTATACAGCCGTCTGCCAGGGTAAGCTTCTCCGCATAGGAAGCAGTCTGCGGGGGTGGAGCAGACATAAACAACAAGGGGCCCCGATCTTCAAGCCGCAGGCAACGACACCTAGTCTCCGTTTCTCGAGGGAGTGTAGCTTTGGCCCCCTCCCGTTCACAGGGATGAAGCTATCCACGACGCTCGCCCTCGCGGCCCTGGCGTCGGAGGCCATCTCACAAAAAGTCATCTCGGCCAACTTCCACAAGATCCAGCTCCCCGTAGACCTGGTCCAAATCACCCGCCGCGATACCCTCACCCTCGCGGCGCTCAACAACATCACGGGCGGCGGGTACTACTCGGAAGTCGAAATCGGCACACCGGGGCAGAAGGCGCTGCTGCACGTCGACACCGGCAGCAGCGACACGTGGATCGTCGACAAGCAGGCTGACCTCTGCACGAGCACGAAGTTGCAGCGCCAGTATGAGACGGGGTGTACCGAGACGTACAACTCGACCGACAGCTCAACGTACAAGGTCGTCGGCCGCAATGGTTTTGATATCACATACCTTGACGGCAAGAACATCAAGGGAGACTACATCCAGGATGTCGTCAGCATCAATGGGAAGACGGTCAATGATCAGCAGCTTGGCTTGGCGATTCAGACGGTCAAGGGCACGGGGTTGATTGGCCTGGGGTTCTCGCAGACTGTGGCGACGAAGCGCAAGTATCCTACCATTCTCGACAACATGGTCACGCAGGGCGTTATAGGTAGGAAAGCCTTCAGTATATGGCTGGTAAGGGAGCAATCATGCAAACGTCACTTCTTCAGAATGTCCACTAATCGTGACTGGTAGAATGATCTCTCATCATCTGAGGGAACCTTGTTGTTCGGCGGCATTGACACGGAGAAATACATCGGCTCACTCACCACGCTCCCCCTCGTCAACGACCACCATTCCGGAAACATGACAAGCTACAGCGTATCCATGACCGGGGTCGAAATCGAAACGCCAGACGGCAAAACGGTGGAGATGGCGGGGGACAACTTCAACGCAGCGACTGTCCTCGACTCCGGGTCGACGGTGTGTCTCCTCCCAGAGCAAATGGCCAAGTCAATCTGGGTCAAATACGACGTTGTCGATGCCGGATACGGCTTCATCGACTGCAAGTGGCGAGGCGCCCAAGGCGAGGGGATTTTCTTCGATTTCGCTTTCGCCGGCGTCAAGATTCGCGTCCCGATGGAGGAGATGGTCTTGGATAATCTGGACCCCATCATGGACCAGCTCAAGGGCCTCACCCCCTTCGACAAGCCCTGCATGTTTGGTATACAAAACAGCGCCACATTCGACGTCAACAGCACAGAGTTTGCGCTGTTGGGCGACACGTTTCTGCGGAGCACGTACGTTGTCTACGATGAGGCGAACCACCAGGTCGGCATCGCGCAGTCGAATCTTAACGCGACCCGGACCAATGTCATTGAGCTCCGGGCGGGCGAGACTGTCTTGCCGACGGCCACGGGCGTGGCGAGCCAGGCTATTACGCCGGCACCGACGTCGATGAAGGCCGGGACGGGGACGACGACGGGGACGGCGGCTGCCGGGATAGATACGTCGGTTGTCTCAGCAGGTGTTGCGACGCCGTCTTCGAGCGAATCCCCTAATGCCGCATCACATCCTGGGCTGGTGGCCTCGGAAACGGATGGATTTTTTGTAATGATGCTCATGTCTGTGTTTGCTGTCGTGGGCGCGGCCCTGATGGCGGGTTAATTCTCATGTACACATACTTACTCACACTTTTTGAATGATAATGTAATTTGACGTATTCCACGAGTTTGGGATGCCTTCAGAGCGTAGCCTGCGTGGCATTCACTGTATATCTCCTCAGTCTGCAGCTTGTTTTTGAGACATGACTTTCACTTGAAAATAATGAATAAGCTCATATAAGGTAGTCAGTGAGATATGATTCAGACTGCCGTCTCAACCTGCGGATGTCACTGGTTAAAGTTCGAACCCATCAATGGAGGAGGGGATCGGTGGAGCGGGTGCACCCGAAGGGGAAATTTTTTTCACGCCGGTTTTTCGTCACCCGTGCCGAGCGGACGGTGCGCCGCGACTTTTCACCTCTGAACGTTCCCATCTCATCCCGAACTCGGCTTCAAAACCTGACTCATCCTCGTCTTCAATTCACCAAGGTGCGCCAGACTACTGTCTATAAGGCTATAACTCAGATCGCTCACGTCTCTAGACTTGAACCTCCGATTCCTGCTGCGCTATAACAACTCGACTGCCCCTCCATCGAACGAACCCCTCCAAATTTCAACCCCTCCACCCCACCTCAGTCAACTCATAACCGGCCCTCATAATGGCCACCGCTAGCGTCACATCCGTCGACCTCACCGGCCTCAAGAAGATCGGCCAGGGCAAAGTCCGCGATGTCTTCGAGGTTGACGACAAGACGCTCCTCTTCGTCGCCTCTGACCGCGTTTCGGCTTTTGATGTCGTCATGAAGAACGGTATCCCTGACAAGGGCGCCATTCTCACCCACGCCTCTGTAAGGCTCACTCTCTTATCCCACTCCACTCACTCACACTCATTCCTTCTCACTCCTCGTCACCCCTTTTCTGTTTATGTTCTCAAAGATCATGTCATGTTAGAAGTCATATTTGCTAATACGACTGCCCAACGGCACATAGGCCCACTGGTTCAAGGTTCTCACCGACCGAGTCCCCGGCCTCAAGACCCACTTCATCACCCTCGACCCCCCGGCCGGCCTGCCGGCCGCCGACGCCGCCCTCATCAAGAACCGCGCCATGCTGGTCCGCCGCCTCAAGGTCATTCCCCTCGAGGCCATCGGTATGTTCCAGCCGCATCCCTCTTATACTGCACCTTCTCGTGATGTAATGTTGTTGACCATACCCCTCAGTCCGTGGCTACCTCACCGGCTCCGCCTGGAACGAGTACAAATCAAAGGGCACCGTCCACGGCATCCCCGTCCCCGCAGGCATGCAACAGTCCCAAGCCTTCGCCACGCCCCTCTACACCCCCTCCACAAAGGCAGAACAAGGCGAGCACGACGAAAACATCCACCCAGACGAGGCCGTCAAGCTCGTCGGCGCCAAGTACGCCAACCGCGTACAGGAGCTCGCCCTCGAGCTCTACGCCGCGGCGCGCGACTACGCCGCCGAGCGGGGCATCATCCTCGCCGACACAAAGTTCGAGTTCGGCGTCGACCCGGACACGGACGAGGTCGTGCTCGTGGACGAGGTGCTCACGCCCGACAGCAGTCGGTACTGGCCCGCTGACAAGTACGCCGTCGGCCGCGACCAGGAGAGCTTTGATAAGCAGTTTATCCGCAACTGGTTGATTGAGCAGGGGCTCAAGGGGAAGGAGGGCGTTGCGTTGCCCGAGGATGTGTGCAAGGCTACGGCGGAGAAGTATAAGGATGTGTTCGTCAAGTTGGTGGGGAAGAGCTTCGATGAGGTTGTTGCGTGAGGAGGGTGTTGAGCAGTGGAATTCGTCTTTATTATCAGTTGCTTGCTATATAAAAGTCATTAGATTTGCCACTCTGTCTTCGAAGGGACTGTAAATGGGATGCGAGAGGGAGAGATGTTTCTTGCTGAGGTGTGGTTAGGGGGCAGACATGCCCACTGGTTTATCAGAGTTATCAAGATCATCCGCCAGGCAGGAGGTACAAATGAGACTTGGTGATTCAAAGAAAACCCTGCTTCATATCCCCAAAACTGATAGCAGCAGCAGTTGACATGTCTCACGGGGACCTGACAACATCGAAGGACTCAAGACTGAACCAACAGGCAAACATTCAGTCATCATTATCAGCTACAACGTGCAGATAAACACGTGATGCTTGCAAGGGTCTCTTCAACAGCGTCTTTGTCCACAATACCAACCAACACGAGCAAAGGCGTACTATTAAACCCCTCACATATTGAGTTGAGCATACCCAGCCAGAATTACTGAAACAAACCTGCAATGACCACTTCATTCAAATTGACAGTGTACTAAGATGGGTTTTCATAACGACCCGGAGCCATCGACACCGGCGATTGCCTTTGGAACTGAGATCCGAGAGCAATGTTTCTCTTTTGCCGAGGGTTACCATCCTCTCAATCACGGCTCATTCGGGGCTTTTCCTAAAGAGGTCCGGAATCACCAAAGGCGATTACAGGACGCAAGCGAAGCAAGGCCAGATACGTTTACACGATATACCTATCTCAAGCTTCTCAGAGAAAGCAAAGCAGCCATTGCACCACTCCTAGGAGCAGAGCCCGACGAAGTTGTATTTGTACAGAACGCCACCACGGGTGTCAACACCGTGCTCCGAAACTTGGACTTCAGGCCCGGCGATACAGTTCTTCACTTTAACACCATCTATGGTGCCTGCCTCAAGACAATTCAGTCGCTGTCAGAAGAATGTCCAGTTTCATCACACGCAATTGACATTACGTATCCAATCGACGACGACGAAATCTTGAGGCGATTCCGATGCGCGGTGAAAGAGATCGAATGTCGACAAAAGACGCCAAAACTGGCCATTTTTGACACAGTCCTCACGTTTCCAGGGGTGAGATTCCCATTCGAGAGACTAGTGGCGACCTGCAAGGAGCTTAAGATCTTGAGTTTCATCGACGGAGCTCATGGTGTCGGCCATATTGACCTGAGTCACCTTGGTGGCGTTGTTAAGCCTGACTTCTTTATCAGTAATTGTTACAAGTGAGTCAATCGCCCTAAACAGCTCTAAATACTTCAGGCAGTTAATCTCTAGTTCAGATGGTTGATGGTGCCGAGGGGATGCGCCGTCTTATACGTTCCATACCGGAACCAAGAGAAGATTGCTTCAACGGTGCCCACATCCTGTGGCTACGAGATCAAAGCGGAGCGAGATAAGTTGGAGTCGCGACACTACTTCTCGAAGTTGTTTGACAAGATCTCTACAACAGACAACACACCGTACTGTTGCATCCCCACGGTGCTTGAATTCCGTTCCAGAGTCTGCGGCGGCGAGGCGAAGATTAGGGAATACTGCGAGTACATTGCGCGTCTGGGCGGTGACAGTATGGCAGAGATCCTCGGCACGGAAGTCCTCGGCGCTTCATCCGCCTCATTTCGGAGCTGCTGCTTCGTCAATGTCCGCCTTCCCTTGACTCTGGCGGAACTTGACGCCTATGCGTCAGCGGGACGAGGGATAGCGAAGTGGATGCAGGAATTGATGCCAGCCGAGTATGAGACGTACATTCCCATCAAGTTCTATGCTGGTGGCTTTTGGTGCCGGATTAGTGGTCAGGTGTACTTGACATTGGATGATTTCGAATGGGCGGCACAAACTCTGCTCGATGTCTGTACACGTGCGAAGACTGGGGAATGGAGATGAGTATCATTTGCAAGATACTCGAACTAGGGGTTTCTCATGATCTCCAAGCTAGATTCATCAACGAAGTTTATTGGTATCATGCCTGTTTCCCACTCGTTCTGCGTGATCGACCGTACTTGCCCAATGCATGTCTTAAATAATGTTCCCTGACCGATGGACTGCATGTTGGACTCCACCTCGTGAGCTTCAAATGACTACGACTTACCAACAGTGCCTAGCCGAGCCATGGACTGGGGAAGCTACCCAATTTGAGAGCGTTTCTGAAAAGCCTCACAGTGCAAGTTCAGCAGTCTTGGTTATTTCAACGCATTTAATGTTGATAATAGGATTGTGGGCGTTTCAAACTACCGATCCTGTGGTATCCTACTGCACTGAGGAATCTATGCATCTAGCTTCAGACGATCCAGCATGGTATCGATCTTTCCAAGTAGGATCTGGTAATTGATCGCATCTGAAGCGAACTCGTCCTCGGCCACCTCACCGCCCAGGGTCTTGACACCCTCCCCGTCTTCACCATTCTCAACGGCTGTAGCAGCAGGAGGATCGGAAGCGGTTTCCTGGGAGATAGCACCGGCCTCGCGCATCTCCTCATGCAGCTGTTCGCTCTGCGCAGCAATCGCTTCGGCCATTTCGGCGTTGATTTCCCCCTCTTCGTCCATCATTTCCTCGAGATTGGCGTCCTCGAAACGCAGTCGGAAGCGCTCGCCCAGGTAATAGCGGATATCATCCAACAACTCAATGGTATCCGTCTCTTCACGATTCTTGAGCCTCTCCGCACTCTCCTTGATCAGCTCCGCAAACTCGGCTTCGTCAATGTAATCCTCTAAGCGGTTGGCCAGGTACCGCGCAGCAAACTCTTCCAGGCGCTGGACGCGTAGATCCCACGCCGCGTGAATCACGTCGTAGATGTTGATGGGCTCCATCTCTTCGTCAGGACGGTCCTCTCCGTCGGGCCTGTGGGTGCGATCAGCCCAAATGTTGCTCGTACCGCTTCCCAGGGTACTGATAGCCTGTGCTGCTTTCGTCTTCAGCTTGTCGAGGAACAGGATGTCGGCCGTGTATAGCAAGTCCAAAGCCAGCTCGAGGGGGCAGCCCACCTTTTCGGTGTACAGGAACGTGAGCACGATCTCGAGGACCTCGGGCATACAATCCACAGTGACAACATGCAGGTTTTCCGAGTCTTGAGCCTCCCTGAACTCGCTGGAGAACATCGTCTCGAAGTACGGACTGCGAATGAGCATCGCCTTGTGAACGGGGTAAACCACCGACGTTCGAGGTCGTTTCTTGGGTTTATCGCCGTTGGTCGCAAGGCCTAGCGGAATGCCTACAGCATGTACGACACTCTTAGAGTCCTCCGCATCAGTCTCGATTTCGTCAGTTTCCGGCTCGTGCGCGCAAAGGAGGCAATCCGCGAAGATCGAGTTGTCGTGACGCCATTTCACCTCGCCGACCCTCTTCGTCTCCACGACCATCTTGTGGCCCAGGACTTTCTCCCGGTAGAACCGATCAACCTGGACCTGCGCACGCCTCACCTCGTCCTCGTATCTCTGGCGCGCCAGTCTTCGGTCATTACCCACAAGGATAGCCTCCCATAGTTGTTCGATCTCGAGCTGCTTGCTGAGCTTATCAACACCAGTGAGAACCTCTTCCTCCGTCACGGTACTGCGAGCGTTGACCACATCCTTGGGTACTTCTCCTAGATACAGATAGCGTAGGGCAACTTGGAAAGACTCGAGCGGGTACGTGGTTGGGAGCTTCCATGTTGCGGTATCGGGTGCGCCATCCAGCTTCTTCCTGAAGTACGGTGTCCGTGCTGCCAGGAGAAACTTGTGCATGTCAAAGGACTGTGCTGCTGCAATAAGGCTAATGTCGGTTGTTTTTGGAACGGCCTTGGAGAGTAGACTGGTGATGTGTCCAGCCCAAGGCTGGAGCGGGTCTGTAGATTTTGAATAATCATACTCCAATAAGAGATTTCGTATCCTGTCGTTGAGGGCGTTGTAAATGCATCGTTCGCCCTGAAACGTGTTCCTTTCGGCCAATGCACCTTTCACATCGGTCAGTCGCAGGATTCTCTCGGCATATCAACACACACAACCCACCAGACTCCAAAAGTAGTTGTACGAGTTCCAGATGCCCACATAGACTAGCCTTGATAACGATCGTCAGTGAGGCCTCAGTCCGAGGTACGGTGACCGCGCACTCACAACGATCAACGGTGTGTAATCAAAACGGTCTTTGCCGTTGATGTTTATGCCGGCCGAAATCAGCTCCTGACATGTCTTGAGGTCGCCTCTTCTGCACGCCAGCAGGAAAGCCTCAAACTCGGTCGTTTGATCTAGAGGGTTGTCCTCTCTGAGCACGCCATTTGCAATCAACTCATGCTCTTCCTTGAGTTGTACTTCTAATTCATCTTTTCGGAGGACCATGATGACGGCTTGAATCAAACGTCTAGAGTCTCTATAGCCTGAAAGTCTAAACGACAAACGATGATATGAAGAGAATGCATCAAACAAGTAAGAAGTTCAAGTTCGCCTCCACAACTGGGACATTGAAGATCTCAGTGAAAGTGAAGTCCGATAAGTCCATGAGGTCGCCTCTGCACGGGCCACCTGGGACGTTCCTTACGTGACGGCTTCTTGTTCATCATAGGTGCCCCACCATGGAACCCCTCCACAGTCTTATCGATAAGAAATGGAAGAGACCCACTCTGGGGGAGCTGGAGCTGGATTATCTCAGCTCCGTCACTAGCGTCGTTGCCATGGCATCGGTCCCCAGTTGTTTACCCGAGCTCGATCTTGTTAGTCCCATGCAACCAAGTTCACAGCTTTGACTTGCAGTGCACCTTTCCCGGTCAACCACCACCAACAGCTCGGATACTAACATAACAGGTTCGCGACCGTCGTCTTTCTTTGCCTCTCAATTTCTATGGATACATACAAAGATTCACTTTGATCAAATTCATTGCGCGTTGTACCCAAGATGTCTTTGGAGGCGGATAAGTATGAGGTGCTGGAGAAAATCGGTAGGCACCCCCATTCACGACCTTTTCACGTTGCGACCGAGCAAAGAATCTCTTGACTGACCAAACAATCCAATAGGCCATGGTTCCTTTGGAATCATCCGAAAGGTTCGAAGAAAGGTCGATAGCCTAGTCATGTGTCGGAAGGAAATCAGTTACCTCAAGATGTCGCAAAAGGAGCGCGAGCAGTTACACGCCGAATTCCAGATTCTCTCAACCCTCCGCCATCAAAATATCGTCGGCTACTACCATCGCGAACACCTGAAATCGACCCAAGACCTCCACCTCTACATGGAGTACTGTGGCAATGGCGATCTCGGCCGGGTCATCAGAGATTTGGCCGTAAAGGGCCAACGTGCGCAAGAGTCATTCGTGTGGAGCATTTTCTCGCAGCTGGTTACTGCGCTCTACAGATGCCATTATGGCATCGACCCTCCCGAGGTTGGCAGCAATGTGCTGGGCCTCTTCAGCACAGCATCGAAGCCCAAGACACCACCGGGCACCATGACCATTCTGCATCGCGATCTCAAGCCGGAGAATGGTATGTTTCATCGCCCAATCAATCGACGTGACATGTGCTGATTGAAACCAGTGTTCCTTGGAGAGGACAACTCCGTCAAGCTTGGTGACTTTGGACTGTCCAAAATGATTCAGTCCCACGACTTCGCCTCCACCTACGTCGGCACACCATTTTACATGTCGCCCGAAATCTGTGCTGCCGAGAAGTATACCCTCAAGTCGGACATCTGGTCCCTGGGCTGCATCATCTACGAGCTCTGCACGCGCGAACCCCCCTTCAACGCCAAGTCGCATTTCCAGCTTGTTCAGAAGATCAAGGAGGGCAAGGTCTCGCCTCTTCCCAGCTGCTATTCCAGTGAGCTCATGGGCACCATCAAGGACTGCCTGAGAGTCAACCCCGACCACCGTCCGGACACCGCGCAGCTCCTCAACCTCCCTGTTGTTCGATTGATGAGAAAGGAGAGAGAGGTTGTTGAGCTTAACAAGGTCGTTCAGAAGAAGGAAGATTCACTGGCCCGTCGCGAGAAGGAGTTGAACGAGAGGATGGCCGATTTCGAGGCCGACAAGGCTTCGGTCAGACAAGAAGTTGACAGCTCGCTGCGAAGAGAGTGGGAGGTCAAAGCTCGTCTCGAGATTGATCGACAAATCAACTCGGAAATCGAGGCCCTCCGGAAGCGATTCGAGAGCGAGGTTCAGTCTCGCGTCGACGCTGAACTGCAAAAGAAGACGATTAGCCTGGTTGCTGAGCCCACGCACGCGCTCGATCTTGCAACATCGCAAACGAAGTCAGAATACCCGAGGTCTTCCGTTGGTAACGGCAGCGGAGACGACGAGCTCTCATCTTGCACTGATCTCACCGATATCTCCTCAGACAGTCCTTTCACGAGCAAGAAGGCTACTCGCACCCCATACAGCAGAGCCCAAACCATGTTCGTCGGTGGCCAAGGCACTCCCATGGATATTGAGATGGCATCCCCCTCACCCATCGCCATCGCCTCGCTTTCGTTGTCGCCTAGACGCCATGCCGGAACTCAGGTGCCCAAGCTTAACAACGGAAACCTTTTCTCAGGCAATGCTGCGTCTGCTGGCGACCCTATGTGGGACGTGCCTCGTGACATTATCAGCATCGACTCCGACGACGAGGACATTGTTCCCTCCCCAACTCGTAACATCAAGTCGAAGCACAACCCGTTCACTTCCAAGAATCGGCCGGTGTTGATGTCTCAAAAGACCGCTCCCATTACTCGAGTCAAGCCTCAAGGATCGGCAACTGGCTTGAACCAGAACAAGACGCTGCCGTCTTTGCCCAACATGGCATCGAACCCCGACCTCAGCCGCGGACTCCGTGAGCGCTGTCAGTCACCTAACCGCCGATTGAGTAAGATTCCTTCGGCGGCGAATTTGTCGGCTGCAAACGGTAGCGAGTCTCCCGGCGGTCTTTCCCGCAAGAACTCCACCAAGAAGGATCAAGAGCCCCTTGGTAAGGTTGCGGCGAAGAACAACATCAAGGGCAGAACGCTGGTCGAACTCCAGCAGGCCCGAGCAGGAGGTCGTCCCCTCTCTGCTGTCATGTCTGGTGGCGAGAACATGAGCCCTAAGAGGGCATTCAAGGATCGCATCGCGGACCGTCGGGCTAGTGGCGGCGAGCCTGCCGCGGTGTGGGATCCTGAGCGGGACGAGATGCCCAGTCCGTTCCTGATTAGACGCAAGCCCATGGCCAGAGTCTAAGATCATTTCTTTTCAGTTGGCATACAAGAGCGTTGGGTGGCGAAGATACCATAGCATGCACACGGGTCATTCATTGGTTGTTATTGTCGTTGCTCATTTATCACTCTCTTTTGTTCTGGCGGCACCGAAAAAGTTGGAGGATATCTTCCGATGGAGGTAATTGTGGGTGTTCATACACAGCAATCCTGAGTCCTGGTGATGACCAGACGGGACTCTTGACTTTCACACTTATGAAGATGGATTTTGGAGGTGTTGGGTTGGAACGGTACGGTGTTGCCGGACTCGGCTGGGGGTTTCATTTTCAATGCAGACGTTGCTACGGCGTTTGGTAGATTGTTTTGTTGGCGACTTGTACATGTTGCATAAGGGGTTTGCAGGTGTAGTTTTATCACGCACGAGACAAATATTCATCTTCTCAAGTATGTCTTGATCTCTTCGTACCTTGCAATGACGTTGTGAGCTCCAGGATGACCGATCTCGTTGTACCGGACACGGCATGCATATTGATGTTGCTCGCGCGTCAATAGTTGCCAACATGAGCGGCACGTTGACGAATGACTTACTGTAACCGTATGTGGTACCCGTGGCATCCAAGCACATTGCTTCCGCTCTAGTCTCGTTTCACACAGGAAGAAGTTCAAGACATCTGGGGTTGACCAAAGCAGCGTGGCCAGAACGGCCAGCCATGTCATATCTCGCTCAAGACAATCCACATTCCAGATCGCTTCGAGATCCTACCTTATGCCATGTTGTCTCCTTTGACTCGTAATCGATGATGCCCCCCCCCCCCCCCCCCCCCGTTAGATTTCTTCTAAGCGAGACCGAGAGAGCCCGAGACAACAAACGGCGAAATAGCAAGAAGTATTGGACAATGTTTGCTTTTCGATTTTCGTTGTAAGCCTTTGGTAAGCATGCCGTCTCTGAGAGACTGAGACCCCCCTCCCCTGGATAATAGCGCAGAGTTTATTACAACTCACCGTAGAGACGACGAACCCGTCCTACCACCCGTTGTTCATGATGATCTCATCACTCTCAATGCCAAAGGAAGTTTCTGTTTCAATGAGACGTCCGTGATGTGATAGAGGGATGGAAGGGAGGAGGGGGGGGAGTTGCCCGAGTGCCGGGTCTTTACCGGCCTGCATGTCTCAGAGGACACCGGTCCGCAACCGCATAAGCGTGCGTTCTTCTTGCTGGCCAGAGTCTCTTTCCCACGCTAGGTGATGCGCTGTGAGGAGGATCAGTAAGGGTTATGTGATATGTGAGGGGGGGGGGAGGCCGCACGGCGGCCACGGGGTGAGAGGCACGGAAGAGGGAAACGGGAGAGGGGGGCCGCGCTTGAGTACGTTTGCTGATCATCGATGCGCGGTCATCATGGCGCTGAGACAGACATGATGGGCGACGTACGTGATTGCGGGCATTTGCTGCATTAGCTTCACCAACTTATTCTTTTCGACGACAGGCGGGACGAAAGACGTAGGGGCACTCCCTGCCTGCTGGTGGCCGGTATCATCGCCGTCATCGCTCTTAGTCCTGCTCTGCGGGTGGTTTGCGGGAGTATTCCGGATGTAGAAATGTGCTTTTGCTTTTCCGAATGCCCTCTCTCTCTCTCTCTCTCTCTCTCTCTCTCTCTCTCTCTCTCTCTCTCTCTCTCTCTCTGTCCTTCTCTCTGCATGTGCATCTTCCTCTCCACCCACCCGCGCGCCGGGGGTGCTGTTCACGGTGACATGGTATCGGGACACAAGCTGAACCCGGATTCCACCCGTGAATGGTTCGTTCATCAGCTCATGATGTTGGGGGCCAGTGCGGTTTAGGGTTGGTGTTTTCTTGATATATTTGCTTTTTCCCTTCTTCGCTTACTACCACCCACACTTCTCACGCACCCCCTTAAGCCCACATCAACATCGGCGACTTGCCTGAGACCCCCCCAGCAAGCCCATCTTGCATACCGGGGAACCGATAAACACGAAAGCACCGGACACAGAGAGATCCCGTCTGCGGGAGAGAGACGCAGCTTGGGTTCTTGGACCTTGAAAAGCCCCGAAAAGAAGAAACAAGCACTCCTACGCTTCGTCCAGCGCAAGCAGCAGAACGAAGGAGGCGCGGGCGGGACTTTCGGGAGGCTCAGCGGGCGGCAGATTTGTTCTTCCTCTTTCACTATATTCTTGCCGTGTTGTCACTGATTTTGAGACACTTTGGAAGGGCAGAGCTAACGAGGTGGTTGTCCAACTTGGAATAGTCCTCCGATGAATGATACCCCAAAAGTTCAGGGTCAGACAAGGGGGTTTACATTGCACTTGCTTTGCTTTGCTATCAAGGAACGAGACTACCGCTTTCGGACGGGCAACGGCCAGATTTATCACATCGTCGTAATCACGATGGAACGAGATCTAGATTAGTGCTACGGTATCGCATCTCGTCTCTCGGACTTTGGAGATTAGGTTTCCGGGGGACAGAGAAACGGGCCTGGTATTCTTCGTGTTGTCTTAGCCCGTCGAGAACTAACGAGTACTGTCTTATGAGCTGATGAGCAAGGGGAACGTCGACATTCCGTGGCTTCCCCCCGTTGCGGCGAAACGATTTCCGTACTGGCGTTCTTAGGAGGGACCCAGGACCGAACCTGTCATCGAAAGAAGAGAGAGCTAGGCTTGAAGCGATCTACGTTCAACGTAGGGTTCAGGCGAAGAAGGGATTTAGCTCTTCTGAACGCGGTTGTCTCAAGCCACGCGAAGCAGCGACGGCTTCTAGTCGAGACTGGTGAGCTTCGAAGGGTCAGCCACAACGGCAGCTAGAACATCCGCGCCCACGAGGGAGCGGTTTGGCCCCTTCTTCGCTTCGTGGTAGAGAGACATCCTGCGAAACACCCATGTATATCGTCCTTGGCTATCCCACCACAACCCCATGATCGCTGGCCCTGTCTCGCAGAGTCGCAAGTTGTTGGCAGAAAGCAGAGCCCGAAGGCACAGAAACAGAGGGAAAGTGAGCAAGAGAGAGACAGTGGCCAGCAGCAGCCTACGAACTAACAAACCCCCGGACGTTCTCCGCTCTAGTCGAGACATTCCAGTGTCTCTCCGGCTGAAGCAGACGTTTCTTTTTCCCCGGATGGCCCTACCGAGAACAGAAGTGACGTCCGCGTTGCGGGATCGCCAAAACGTTCGTTTCTTGGGTCTTGCAAGCTGCATGATGCAGCCCGCATGCAGCGTGCATTTACAGGGCACGGAGCACCGCGGGAAGCAAACAATACTTTCAAAAAGATTGCATGTACGAGCACGTCCGCTGTAGGGTAATTCGGGAGAGCAATATATCGCTCTTTGTTGCTTTTCCCTTTTTGCTGCTCTCTGTCCCCAAAGGGAGGGGGGGGGGGGGGGGGTGGAGGACGCACGAGGGTATCATCCGGTGTCTAAGAGCTGGCTGCTGTTGGACTGGACTGGATGATCGACCGCCAATATTTAGCTGCTGGCTCGAACTGAACCCCAGACCAGACGTCCATCTGCATACATTCCCACGTCTAAGGACATGGATAACCGCGCGCGCAGCAGCCAAAGGGAGAGCGAGCACGGAATCAAACGACACCAGACCCAAGCTTGACAAGCAGCAGGCCCGTGATGCACTGCGCAGGGGACACGTCAAGGGGAACCCGCAGCCGCGTAGCCGCTTCCCACGACGAAAGCTCGGAGCGCCGTATGACCCCTTTCCGGGTCGATCTTTCAAATGTCCAGGCCAAGAGGCGCGTCTGCGGCACAGCGGCGGGAAACGAACCTCGAACGGTGACCATTCATGGGACCGGACGGGCTGGGCTTGACGGACGACCAGAGGATCGCCACCAACCGCGGACGTGCATGGTGAGGGAATCACCACACCTCTTTTGCTTTGCCTCAGCACGGGTAGCAGTCTAATCTCGGGCCGCGTTACGGTTTCCGGTCATGGTCATTACGTTTGCCTTCCTCCTATCCTCCTCCCCGTCGGAGGAATGGGGAGACATTGGAAAGACATCACGCGGGATTGGGGAAAGCAATGAAGCAGCGGGCGCAAAGACGTTTGGGGCTGGAATTCATCACTGACAACGTCAACCGTCCAGCCCGCACCCTCCTCCGTCCGCTATCCGCCGTTGACGGGATGTGAATGTCTTGTTGGCCCGGATTCTCCTCTGAGGAGTTTGCTAACTTGCTGCTGCCGCGCCGCTTCGGCTTGTTGCCGTGTGGCTGCTGACTATTGGAACGTATGGAAATGCCACCACACAGACACACACGCGCCTTACATCTCCCGCCAATCACTCCTTACGTCGCCAGCCCTGTAAACGTTGCCATGACACTAAGGCTTCTAGACTCTAGGTTCGAAGCATGGAGTCATTGATTGTGGCGCCTGCGGCCGCGGTAATTGAGGGCATGTAAGGGCGTTGGGACGGGATCTTTTGACAATCTAGGCTTTCTTCCACGACTGCCTCGGTTGCCAAACTACGAGGAGTGGTAGAAACTTGAAGAGAAACAACCAACCCAGAAGCGATAGCATCAAGGAAGAAAGACGGGAAGAGAGGTATGGATAGCATACGAAGTAGAGGCCTTTGAAATTCTTGGCCCCCACCCTCAACTTGAACGAGACCCCCCTTCCACTTCCTCTGAAAAGACCGAGCCAGTTGGAGGCAGGGCATGTTGGCAAAACAGGCAGGCAAGTAAAAGTGGATGAAGCTATATCCTGCGAATACCGCGGCCGGCAGTGAGACTTGTGACTGGAAAAGGCCAATGGGCCGAACCAAGACGAGGTCGAGGGACCACTCTTTACGACGAAGATTTGCGAGCACGATCGCACTTGTGGGCTGTCACATTTTTTTTCTGCTTTCTACTGGCCCTACAGGCCTGCAGATGACAGAAAGTGACTGATAGGGAGGATGGAAGGTTGGAAGGATAACTCCGTCCGGCTCTCTCGCGTGTCTGCGGGTGGTGGATTCTCTACTTCACCGCTGCATATCACGAGCCTTTGCGGAGTATCCATCTTCACATACGTCCTACACACGCCCCCTCCTCCGTGCTTAATCATCGCTAACGGCTGTCTCGTCCTGAGTGATTTTGCCTCCTGGACTAACGACTAGAGTCTTGTCCTGAAGCATTCCAGCGGAGTTCATCATCGTTTAAGGCATGGCCAAGGAGGAGGAGGAGGAGGAGGAGGAGGAGGAGGAGCAGCGGCGATATAGGAGCACAACGTGGATGCGTAATGAGATGTCTGCAGGATGAGAGTGAAAAGAGGCGGGGACCGGAGCAATGGTGGTTGACGTGCTGGTTACTTTTCCGACACACCCATGGCCATGCGTTGGTGATCACCCAAGTGATCTCTGGTACGGCAGCCACGGAGCGCATATGCGGCGTTTTCCATACGGATACTTCCATTTTGCCCCATTTCCTTTCCCCGTAGGCACGAAGGAGGTGGTGTCGAGGATCTTCACAGAGATGGGGGGCCAAAATGCCAAATGCGTAGGTGAAAAGGGGGCCTCCTGCGGAGTTGACGCTCTCCGGCTCCTTTGGCTTTGTGGGAATCGCACCATATTACCTGTGCCAAGCGGGAATGAACGTTAATGACCTGTGGAAGGCGAGCCTTCGACCGTTGGGATGCCACGATGCCTAGGTTCTTAGTGGGTGCCGAGAGAGGGGAGCCCACGGGAGATCTCGAGGCATGAGCTCGCGAAGTAGGCCAACGAGGATGCGTTTCTCCTCAATATACGAAGGGGGGGAGTGGGCAGCTTGGACGCTAGACCGGCCGAGATCTTGTAGAGAGTGTTGAGCGGGACAGAGTTGATGTCAGTACGCAAGGTTGGTACTGGGCTTACGAAGGTTACAACGAGGTGGTTCATCTATCTGCTGGAATGAAGGTTGGATGAAGGGCTCGAAGGATGCTGATCGTCACTTGTTTCGTTCTTGGAAGAAGAAGAGTAACTTCCATGAAATACCCGGACTTCACCCCCTCACCCCCCTTCAAGTGGACTCTGTATGACAGCATGCGCGGTGGACGGCAGACCCCAGACTGCTGGATCCGCTCGGTCAGGTTGTGTTCAACCAGGAAACCAAGGCCACGGCAGCGCATTTCTGTTCCCTCGGAGGGTTTTTGTCACCGCGATGTATCTCGCCGTTCCCACCCACTGAACATGCTCATCTCCCCTCGTCGAATATTGAGTTTCCTCGGTATTATGCCTTCGGGGAATCGGGAAGACGCCTGCGATTTGCAAGATCCTGGGAAATGATCCTCTGAATCGCGGAACCTCACAGCTTACCCCCCCCCGTCCCACGATTTTTGATACGTATGCAAGCACAGCCTCGCTGCCTCTTTTTTCTTTGCTTGCCAGGGTATATGGAGAGGGGAGCAGCAGCAGTACGCCGAATCGAGGTTGAGCTCGATTCGGAGTCCTCCCGTTTGTGTCATGAACCTGCCTCTGCGTCTCCTCTTCCTTTTCTCGGTCAATAGTGGTGATCGTATTTGCAGTGGGTTGTGTAGTACGTATCGTGGACGCAACGCTTCAAAGAGCCCACAAACGGTCACGGAAAACGTGTCTCTGCTGGGATCACCCCTTTGCTTCGAAATCCTGGCGTATTGGTTGAATAGGGGGATGGATGGATGGATGGATGGATGGATGGATGGATGAATAGGATGTGTGGACTGTGGACTGGGTTTTCTGGATATGCATCCACTGAAGCTAAGGCAGTTCCCTGCGAATAGAGTCCACCGAGACAGATACGTTGAGAGTTCGTAATGGAAGCTTTCTCCTCTTGGGATCTTTTTCTGCTCGCCCGTCACCATTTGACATACGACTCCAATTTTTACCCAATCTTTGTCCGGTGTTCAAGATGCCTTGTTCCCAGTTGCCAGGAAGGAGGGCCCCAGAGGCTCGGTACTGACGGAGCCTCGCCCGCGATGAACGACGTCAAGGTAATTATTCAGGACGGTGATCGGTGGGACTTGAGACTCCAGTGCCGTGTAACGTAAAGCACACCGATGAGAGGCGGCATCAGGGGGTGCGTTTTGTTTTTGCTTTTTGAGGGGGATGGGAAAAGGCCAAGAGGGCAGGGGAAGAAGACTCAAGGCCACGATGCAGTTGTCGATTTGGGGATAGGTTGGTAGAGGGGGGGGGATCCCAGTATGCATGCTCTTCTGCTTTTGTCTCGAAGAGATGCCTCTCCCACTCGGAGCCGGTTTTTGGTCAGCAAGGACCATTGGGCAATATCCGGAACTCGCCCGACAACTCGGGACAGACAGGCTCGAGCTGGTGCTGGTGCTTCTGCTTGATGCTTATGCTTGGTACTGTTGCAGCGGTGCTGGTGCTCCAGCCTCCTTGAGTGTGCCTTGCCTCGCATATCGTACCCTCTCGATATTGAATGGGACCCTCGTGAGTTGCCCTTTCTTGCAAGCTGCATGTTTCCGTCTCAGCCCTCGGACATTGACCCTTGAGTTGACCCAACCGCTCCGAGGGGTGTCACACAAGCAACGACACAGGTTGCTCATGAGCAGCGAACCGCTGGTATAGAGTCGCAATATCGATATACACCAGAAGCCCCATTCACCGGACGAGAAGCCCATTCCTGATGTTGTTATTGCTCTTTTTCTGTCGTCTTGTGTCAGGCAGCTGTCAAGAAAAAGCAAACCGGAACGCCGGTTTATTCTTTTGACTCTTAGTAGAAGACCGGTATAGGGACCACATGCAGGGGTCCGGGGACTGGCTTAGCAGCAAAAGGCTCATTTCGCCAGTCCGCCTGCATTCCTGTTGACAGGGCTGGAGGTGAGGGGGATATCCCTTCTGAGAAGTTCCCAAACGGTCGTCTAGCCTCAATGAATGAAGGCAGGGAAGATCCTTTTCTCAAGCCATGTGGCTTGCGAGTCATCAACGTTCCAACTCCTCTGAATTGTCGTATTGCAGTTCCCCGCAAGGCCCGCTTGCGGCCGACTCGTTGAGATGAGGCAGGGCCTTTGCTATGCGGATTTGCATGTCTGTCGGACGCGTAATTTTTTCTTCCGGGGGTATTCGTAAAGAGGCAACTGAAGGGAGAGGTAATGCGTTTTGGTGATATCGCACAGCGCGGAGGGCGGCAAATGCAGCAGCATGGAAGTCCGTCCGCCTCCCCGAGTCTGGACGGCCTGCAGACTTTGCCGGCGGAGATTTTGGCATTGCTCTCGGTACATGAAGCTGGACCAACTGGCAGCAACCATCCTCTTTTGACAGGCAAACATCACCGTACTTTACCGTACGTACTGTGTAATGCGAACCAAGTGACCCATGCTCTCTAGGCAGCGCGCCTTGGTACCGGTATTCTTGTCCCCGGCCGATGCGGCAAACTTTGACCGGGAGCAACAGAAGTTGCAGAGACCGAGGTACGGAGATCATAGCTGGAACCGATCCATGAGACCTTGGTGACATACGAGCTAAGCTCGCAGCATGCTCCCTGCCTGTCTCCTTCCGGCTTGCGCGTTGAGCGGGATGGGGAAGAACGCATCCAAAGGGTGACTGACCAGAGTTGCTGGGGTCTGTTCGGTGGCCTCGCGTTGCACTGCAGGCTACCCGACAGCCATCTTGCATCTTGTCTGTCGACGGGCTGCTGCTGCTCACTCACTCACTTGGTGGCTGTAGCAGGACCGAGGACGGCATAGAGGCACATGGGCAATGAAGCCTCGAGCTTTTGATGACGGGCGCACCACCGATCGACGTGAGAGTTGGTTGCAGTTTGAACGGTACAAGCGCGTGCGTGCCATTTGCTGGCTTTTCCTTCAATCCCAGCAACGGCATTCCACGGGAGAAGCATGTGCTGGTCATCGACGTGGCTTTCATTGCATCTTGTTGCATCCTTCAGCCGCCTGCCACCCCCCATGTTCCCGTTGAACGGCAGCATTGAAGGAAACAACCCCCCCCCCCCGGCTCGTTCTGGGTCGAGATCTGCCCCCGTGGCATGGAGGTAACCAGCCAGCATGACAGCGTGTCGACATGCTATGAAGCTGTGGCGGAGATTTGAACGCGTACAACAGTTATGAAATGGAAATGAATAAAAAAGCCAAAAGAGACACCCGGGGGAAACGTCGAAAAAGAGAGCCATTGTCGTTGGCGTTGCAGGGCGGCGAGACAAACTGATCAAGAAAAAGCAAAATAAACAACGAGAAACATAATTGGACATCGCATCCCGGACATGGTCCAGATTGGGCAATCTCATCGCATTGACAGGTTTGCTGGGCGTTATTAATAGAAATTTGAGAGAGGGAAAAATCCAGGCTTCTGAATCGTTCAACTCGCAGCGCCCGTTTTGGAGAACATGGGAAAAGACAAAGAAGCAGTAAAAGAAGAACATTGCAGGCAGATTCAAATGATGGCGGTTTCAAAAACATAATTCTGTAAGGGCGAGGTCATCATTAGTCTGAAGGTAGAGACAACATGTCGTCGACTGGAATGTTTGTCAACCAAGCGACGTTGGAGAGATGAGCGGCTAGGCTCTAGTAGGAAGACTGGGGGTGCCTCATCGAGGTGTGTGTCTGTGTGTCACTGAGCTACTCAAAGTGTGGCTGATGGCATTTTGTTTCCCAACCCCAAAAGAGGAGAGTCTCTAAAGCCCCCAGGGGCAAGGCGGAAGCACGGGAAGAAGGCTAACGGCCAGAGTCAGGCCATGATGACGCCTGGAGGCTTTGAACGGGATTTAAACAAGCACAGCCAGACGGCGGAAGAACAAGAAAACGGTAAAGAGTGACAGCGCCGCAGCGCCCATCCCGACCCTACGTGCCTACTTTGACGTCCGGATGGGCGATCGCCTGGAGGGGTGGGAGAAGGGCGTGGGAGGGCCTGCCAGGGGCATTTGCAGTTGAGCGTTCTCGACTGGCCTGGAAACCTGGTAAGGAGGAGAAAAGCCAAGGAGGATTCGTCGACGAGGGCCACGGATCTGGTAACCCAATCCCGTGGTGGAGAGAAGAGAGAGACAAAGATGGGTAAATGCAGATGGCCAGGATTGGCAACTTGGTTGGACGGTCAGCCGACGGGAGAGAGATAGAAGACACAACATCAGTACTCCGTACAGATCCAAACTCCCAAAAGGCCTGCGAGAGTTTGATAGACCCGCGAGATGGGCAGCAAAAGTGCTCCCCAGTCGACGAATGATCTTGACCCATCCCTTCTTAACAAGGGGCCCTAATTTTTCTCTTAGCGTGATGGGTAAAGAACGGGTTTCCGGGTATCCAAGAAGACCAGCCAGCTCATTCGACCACGGTTCTTCAATGTTCATCTAGGACGCTTTCAGAAGAGGTTGCATCTCTTCGCGTGGTGGTTCTTCTCGGGTCGTCCAGTCAAGAAAGAGTGTGTTGGCAGGGCAGGGGGAATCCTAGTTGATCGTCACGGAGGCTGGAGATCACAGGATTGTCCCGTGGGCCTCTGCTTTTCTGTTCTATCCGTACCCAAGCCCCAGGTCTTCTTCACACCCCTTGGATCCGGCCGTGTGCGTAGGGAACTTTCGGGAGGATTCGAGAGAGGCGTCCAATGGGATGACCGACCGGGTAGAGGCAAGGGAAGTGCGAATAGGGAACACGGTGCTGGGAGGGAGGGAGGGAGGGGGGCATGTAGATGAAGCAGGGTAGGTTTACCTACTGTCTATCCGTATTGTCTGGAAAGGTTCATGTCGGTTCACTTTAGGATCAATTAAATTTCGTTCGAGAGACTGTAGACTGCAGTAGAGACCAGGAAAACTAAGCTACAGCTCCTGTAGTCGGAAGTTTGTGTGATGTGGCTTTGGGAGAGCGGCGGTTCAATTTCTCTAAATCTCTCAGACCTAGGGACGCCATAGATGATGCGCGGCCGCCACAGCTCTAGCCGAAACTCTCGGTTAGTCGTCTTTCCAATCCGCACAAATCTGACGCTTCTTTTGGGGCCGAAGCGAGATCTAATCGAGATTGTCCGGGTCAGTCGCAGGAGGCACTAGCCGTCCTATTAAGCTGTGAGAGTTGAATTACCAAATCTCTCGAGATGGGCCATTCTCAATGCCGCCATGGGCAGAAACCTCGGCCCTCAGGGCTTACGATGGTAGGAGCTGGCTCCGATCTCGAATTGCCAATGGAGCTGTTCCCAGCGGCCGACGTTTCTCGGAGGGCATGGGGAGCAAGCTCTGGCCTGTGCTTCTTCTTCCCATTTTATTCTTCCCCCACTCTCGGAAATCTCAATATGGTCGAAGGAGTGGCCAAGTAGGGGATCCAGGGGTTGGTTTGTCGTTCCACATGCTCTAGGGGCTTAGCCAAAGGGGACAAACTGTGTTGATCGAGCGTTGAAAGGGAAGAGTCTCGACTTTGAACAACAGGAAATGATTTACGAGGCGAGACCGGGCGACGAAAAGAAGGATAAACTAGAGCCCTTTTTTGCAATTGAAGACACATTTCTCATGGTCTTCAACATGTCTTGCTAAATTCGTTTGAGTTTTGAGCCCCATTTCCCCTTCAACTAGCGGCATCCTCTCCTTCACGCCGTTTTCGTCATAATTCTCTCGTTTGGAACTTTCGACTCTTGTTGAGCGATTAAGAGAGGCTGAAGATGGATGGTGATGGTGGAGCAATCACAACATACTTTGGAACCGGTTCCCAAAAAGCAAGCTGATGGGATGAGGGCCAAGGGTTGGGCTTGGGCGGATGGCCACCCCTGTGCTGATCGACAGATCCTCTCTACGTCCTCGTCCGCGTCTGGGTCCCGCCATCCCAATCAGCGTCCCTGCCGCTCTTCGAAAGGAACCTGCCGCAGAGAGAGGTCAGAGGAGGATCTGGTGACGCCCGTTGCACCGGTACCAGGCATGGGATTCATTGGCCCAGACGCACGCTGGCGGCGGGATTGAAGAGGGCGACATCATCGATCCCGTTATATTTCTTACACTTTACCAGTCCAGGGTCACAGGGTCCCTTGGACGTTAATTAGTGTAGGCAACACTCACCTGTATCTCGAGATCAAAGTTTCGAGACACCTTCATACGAGGACCCGGATTTGACTTTGGGTAGTAATAGAGACGGCGCCCTGCACCTAGGGTTTAATGTTCGCGAACAGTTGCTCCGATTCCGAGCTCTTCGGACGCTACCGCCCTCGTCGTCAAAAGTGCCGAATGGCTTTGCTGGAGACGAGGCTGCCGGCGCGTTACTACGACGAAACCTACTACAATAGTGCGCGACGCCCAGGCGGTCGGCAGTTGCGTAGTGTCTTTACAGCTCGTGTCCGCCATGAGCGATTAGCATGTTGGCCATGTGGTGCAGGGCTGGAATTTTTGTGTTTGTGATTACTGGTGAGACTTTACATAATATTCTGGAGCTACTGCAGCGCGTCTTTATGTGCTCCTATGTTCGAATACGGAATATATGTGTGTGATGGGGGGCAAGTATCAAGAAACATGACGCAAACAGGATTGAGCCTTGTCTTATTGCCACTTACCTCCTCCCAGCCATCAGCTTATACTTACATACGGAGCATCCATACGAAGTACTGCTATGCCATCTTGGCCCGTTGGTCTCTGCACAAACTCATCCTCTCACCCCTGGTGAGTGAGCGGGTCGGTGATGGATGATCTGCAACTGGCAATGAAAAAAGCTGGTAGGGGCTGAGGAATCGGATTCGCGACCGGCATTGATGGTCCTCGAAGGCTGAAGCACAACCCGTACCAAAACACACACATCGGTCGGCTGCCCGTTCCGTGACACCACTCGTGCTTCAGGGACGATCTTGCATGCGCCAAGCAGCGCACATGGCACACTATGAGTTGCAAGACAGGCAGCTGCCATTGTTTGACTTTAGAGTTGACCGAGGATTGATAGCAGAGGGGATCCGGATGGCACTTCTCCGCAAGAGCCAAGTGTTCGCGGGGTTGCTATTCCAAACATTGACATGGCGGGTGAGACTTGAGAACGCGTACGTATACTGGGTGGTGAAGATGACAATGATGGTGATGATGTAGGCGGTGACACCCCCATGCTCTCATCTGGATAAGGAGGCCCTTGTGACCCTCATCGTCGTCGTTAACAACCATACGCGCCCAATGGAGTCAGAATCGTCTCTTGTATCCACGGCCGTGGCATTGTCCTGGAATTCTCCGGCTGATCTTGCAAGTTGCCATTGAAAACTCACGACCGGGGGTTGCCCAAGAGGACGCAGTGCCGGCTGCAACGACATCATCGGCCGTCATGGTTGGATCAACTTCCCGTCCGGGTGCGCGGGTTATTCTTCGAGATCGGCACGACGGTACCTAGCCAGAGGTAGCGGCGCCGCGGCAGACAACGTGTTCAACCTGCGCTCCTGCTGACCAAGGTTTACCAAGAGAGTGTTTTTGGGACAATACCCGAGGCACTCGAAGACGATCGCCGCGCGGGCACCGCGTTAGTGCCCTTCGGTTAGAGGTAGTCTTGGACAAGGGGGGTGGGTTGATGGTCGAGGGGGACCAGCCCAGCCCAAGGTCCAGCCCTTCCCGGAGATTGGTCGGTGACAGGTGAGCTGGAAAGACAAGATTGGCCCCAGACGGTTGTTGAAGGCTAACGCCTAAAAGTGAATTACCTACCTAGAGAGGCACAGTTGATCCCATTCACAGATCTGCTTGCGTGGATGATGACCGCTCGTGCAAGTTACATCGGGGCAAGCTGTACCGTGGTCCGAGTCCCCGTCTTCAGACCTCACGTCTCGGAGAGGATGGACGATCTACCTACCACGTTCCATCACTACGAATAGCCGGACTGCCAACACAAAAAAGGCCCGGCGTTTGGTTTGCTTACTTGTAGGCGTCCAACCGCTACCGCTGGATGGACGGGTACATCTGCCACCCTCCTCACCTGGGCTGGCTGCGTATACCATCTGCTCCCATATGACGATACTGGTACAATCAAGAGAGGCTCCGAAGTACGACCGCTTCGCGCCGTAGGGTACCCCATACTGCAGGGTCGACACGCAGCAGCTTTGCATGCGCGCGGGGGACGGACGACGACAAAAAGAAGGGATGCCTACCGCAGTACGTCGATACGAAAGGTCTGGCGGACGCCACACACTGTACCCGATCTGGATGGACGCCGTTTCGTTTGGCACCAGCTAAGCTCAGGCAAGCCTAGGGAGCTTGTTGCTACCTTGCACTTAGCTAGCCGTGCCTAGGTGCCCAGGTAGCTACCTAGACCTATCGCTCACCCGCGGAAGTCCTTGTCCACACGAGAGAGCAAGAGAGACGGAGAGGCAGAGAGATCTGACTGATTCCAGGAAGTTGCCGTTTGACAGGATACGGCGGAGGAGGCGGATGGACGGACGTGCTGGGGTGGGAAGATGCCCAGGCCCGCGCTAGCAGAGCTTCAAAGCCCGAGGACCTGGGTCAGTTCAAAGCCCGATCACGAGACTTGCGGTCCATGTCTTTTGAATGGGGGACCTCCTTCTCGTGCTTTTCCGACGACATGGGACTACGGGAGCAGGGCAGAGGAGAGATCGTCGCCCGCCCGTCGCGAGGATCTTGACCGAAGGCCACGAGAAACGGGATCGGATGCTGGGGTTGTGAAAGTTGTAGAGTGACGGGGGCAGAATAATTCCGTCGAAACAAAATACCTTTCCAAGGTTTTACGATTTCATGCGGGTGCTGAGTCGGTAGGGTGCTGAGTCGGTGGCAGATGCTCGCCAAGCCTAGCCAAAGTATAAAAAAGATTAATCAAGAAAATAAAGAAATAACGAGTACGGATACTCCGTACGGACACCAGGGACGTACGTGGGTGGCCGGCCTCCCGGCGATCTGCAGCCGCTGCAAGGCTCACGAACTATCTACGAACCGCTTCAACATCTGCGTGTTGCTCTCAAAGTTTATCGTCTAGCTTTCATTTCCCATCTCGAGGCTCTAAGATATTGCTCAGCCACAAAGAGGTTGAGGGGAATTACGTAGCTTCGAGGGGGTTAACCAACACCACGGACGGCCAAGAGACTATCGTGATGTCGGGTTCTCGCACATCACGATCCTCTCCCCACGGCGGGGGAGACAACCAGCTGCTGCCGATTGGCGAATGAACGAGATGTTACACCGATGGGAGATGGAGATTGGGGGGGCATCCCACAACGGTGAGCAACGACGCGCGCGCTGCAGCGCTGCAGCGGGACTTTCATCCGCAAGCATGGTGCAGCAGGGCAGAGCAGGGTTAAGTGAGCAGACTCTCATTCGCAGAGTCGTCACTCAGCATACTGAACATAGTACCCTCAGATGCGGACGGACTGCGATAGAGTGTGGACGGGCTCATCGTTGCATTGTGTCGGCCAGCGGCCCAGCAATGTGCAAGTGCCAGTCGCAAGCAAGGCGTTGGCAACCACTAAAGGATTCCATGGCGGTTCTGGTGTGAGTCTAGCGTGCTTCGCAACGGAACAGACAACTTGTTCGGTATTAGCACGCGGCATAGCGGTAGCCATTCCATTTCGTTTCTGGTGATGGCTTCGTCTGGGAACATGGGCCATGGACACCGGTGGTAGGAAAAAAGCAAGCAACGGCCGGACGGTTCCTCCTCTGAGCCACGCAAGCTTCACAAGTCCTCTCGTCACATACGGCCCGTCTGCGTCTACTAACATAGTGTGGACCGAGGGAGAAAGTCTTCACTGGCGGTGGGGACGCTCCTCTAAGACTCTTGCTCTCAGCTACACTAGACATACACACACACACACACAATAGAAGTGTTTGTGTCTCTCACTATGTTTCTGCTCCTTCACGTGCTAGGACGCTAAAGTCGTTCGCGAAGTTTGACACGGAGACACTAGACGACGCCGTCGCCAGCCATCTTCTCAAGCGAAGTCTGAAGTCTGCACTTTGTCTCAACGTTCCCCCGTTTCCCCGTTTCCCCGTTCCCCGAGCCTTGCAAGCGTACCAAGGCAGGCCTCAAGCCTCTTGGGGTCTGGGGAGGGTATTACGTGGTCGTCGTTTCTCCAAGTGCCATGCCAAGTTGTCGTCAAGTCTCAGGGAGGCTCTTCTGTCACAGGGCAGCACACATGGCAAAATGCAGAGTTGCAGACATGCAAAATACGAACGGGAATGCAAATTCTATCAGTGTCGTCGCAGACACAGACACCCACTCCGAAACTCTGATCAACAACGACCACTCACTCCTAATAATTGGTACCCATGCACACACACATGAGGATGGAGGAAACTGCTGCCATAAGCATATTAAAGCAGTCGCAAAACATCAGAGCGACCGGAGCTGTCACGGCGGAAGACTTGGGACGACATCGGCGGGACAAGACGTGATGGAGCCTGTCATTTGGTCTTTGGCAAGCAACAACGGACGAGTCACCGCTTCATCCGATGCCATTCTGTTGCACAATTGTGCCTGAGAAGTTCTCGGAACTCGAGGCCTTCTTCATGCCTTGGCCCTCACAAGTTAGGGATTCCCCAACCCTCCCCCCTTGAGTCTTGACCCCGGGCCTTTCCCAGGAACTCCGTTGCCGTTCCGTCTGCATCCCATTCCATTCCCAAACTCTTTTCCTCCCATCTTTCTCGACCCTCGTCTCCAGGTCGATCACGGACCCCTTCCTTTCGAACCAGGGCAGTAGGAGCCAGAGAGAGGCAGAGGCACCTTGCAGAGGACAGGGTATGTGCGAGACATCATGGTCGGGGCCCGGGGGGGGGATCAAATGTTTTGGGAAAGCAAGCACCAGGCCAAGACGATGACCACACAACACACCTGCGCACACCCATGGGCCGTTCAAACTCAGAGAGCGAGAATCCGAGCAGAGAGAGCAGAAGGAGAGAAAGAGCCGACGCCAAAGACCAGGCTTCATCTCTTCCTCCCCTGCGACCCTGTCCTTGCAAGGTTCAAGCCACCCTGCGCAAGCGAGGGGGGCTTTCCTGGCGCCCGAGCTAAACTGAAGATCATATTGAAATTAGCCTTTGTTTCCGACTGTCTGTTTCCCTGCCCCCCCCCCCCCCCCCCCCCCTTTCCACCCCCTTCACACATCTCACATTTCTCACACCCTCATGCCATGCCAATATGGAGTCTTTCCCACCCTCCTCCTCCCAGAAACAGTGTCCCGGCGCCCCTGATGCCCCATTCCCCTATCGATGCCGTGCCGTCTCTTTGACGCCGCCGCCGTCCGATCCCCTCGCAAAAAGCCCACAACCAAGATGGGGGGGGGGGAAAGACAAGATGGAGTTATGTCAGAGCACACTGACCCAACAGCAACAAGCAGCAAGCAGGGCCAAATGGAGGAGGCTAGCGAGTCGCTGACAGCTACCTTCAAACTTGACGTGCGTAACCCTTTCGCACGGCCGCCGCTGCAAGCGATGTCGACGGCGCCGAACCTAGCGACAGACGCCAGACCAGGAGCTTTGCGGCGACTGCGGGAGAGCTTCGCTGGCGGCTTTTCCCTGGGTGCCACAAAGCCAACCGCCCCCCGAGTCGAGTTGGGCTGCAGTGATAAACTCTATCTAGGGGTGCGTTGCGTGGTGTTGAATTGCGATCATATGGGATCACTGGGGCCGACTTGCCTGGGCTGAACTCAACTTGAACAGTTTCTGCTCCATCCAATTCGGACTGATACCCGACCCGAAAGCCTCGCGGACGGTCAATCCATTCACACATAGATTTCCGTGGCTAACTTGTGAATGGCCAGAAGGCCACTCCGGGATGCAACTCTGGCACTCAGTGCTAGGTAGTTGGTCGGCATCGCCAAGCGGCAACTGCCTGAAGGTTGCAACGCACACGACACAGTTGAGAGTTGTCTGAACTCTGAACTTGTCAAAAAGTTGTCGTCCAGAGTTGGCCGGCTGTTGCCGTTGCACAAGACGGCTCTCACATGAGTTGACGCAACGCGACGCAACGTCTTGGGTGCTGTTTCTCTCTTTCATCCCGACGACTCCGCATGAGATGCCAAGAGCAGGCCGCTTTCCCAGCCCGTCAACCCTTTTTTATCATTAAGCTTGTCTTGAGAGCAACGTGATGAGCGTCAATCAAAACAGCATCCGGCCTTAATGCTTGCCACTCCTGCCTCTCAACCCTGCAGTAAATCCGGAATATTGTTGCAATTAATGTCCCATGATCTGGGAAGGGGTTCTTCCGTGCCCCGGTGTATTGATATTCGTATGCCCCCCCCCCGGATGCGCGGCCGAACATCATAGTAGTAGAGAAACAACTCATTATGCTGGGAAGAGCCGTTGAGACAAGATTGGGATCATCTCGCGTCGTCGGCAGATTGAGCGAAGTTTGGATCTGACAATCTGCATCATGGGCAACTTGCAAATCAACACCTCTGGACGATTCTGGAACAAAGACACCAGTCATCCGAACATGGGACCCAGCACGGCACGTTGAAGCACCGTGTCCCCCCTCCTTTCTGAAGTCTCGCAGCCTTGGGATGACGTTCTGGCATCTGCATATTCGAGGCAGAAGCGACGAACGGCATAAGATCACTTCGACAATCCGGTCGCAGCACAGGGCTGGCAGGGTCTGATGAAGCTCTTGGGGCGTCACACGCCGCACGCCCCCCGACGTCAGTCAGGCACAGAGTCGTTGCTCGTCTCAAGTGCGTGCGTGTGTGCGGAGCAGTGTGTGTCTGTGGTGCGTGCCTATGGCTGGCAACCCCAGTCCACGAACACCACAGTCCATAACGAACATCTCTCGCTCTCTCTCTCTCTCTCATCGTGCCTCTTGATCTTCTTCCCTTCTACACCGACCCCTCGGGCCTCCGTCCCAAACACACAAGCCTTCATGACAGGACAGGGGTCAGGCATCCCAGACTGCCCCGTCCTCGGAACGGGAGCAAGATCCAGATTAGGAAGTGGTGGCCCGAGTGGTGCCATGCATAACAGCACTGGATCCGGATTAGCCCTCGCTAGCCTAGCGGCCCACGCACCATAGCCGTGGGAGGGGAGAACCGGGGAGGCGTGGTCTAGGGTGTGCCGGCAGCGTGAGAGTTCGTGAGGTGAGGTGAGAGAGAGAGCGAGAAGAGTAAGAGGGCGTGTGGTCAAGACATGTAGGGGACTCTCTCTGTACATTCCCGTGTGGGAGAAGGAGGAAGAGGCGTTCAGAGCAGGGACCCGACGAACAGCCAGGACACACGGCTGGGGTGTGCTCTCGAGCAACAGACCCTGCCGTTGCATAAACCAGTGACCGTTTGACCTCGAGCGATCCCATTGACGTTGATCCTAGACGGGGTCAGTCGCCTTCGATCTCACCCGCAATCCCGGCTACTGCTGCCAGCCAGCCAGCAACACGGATACACCCATTACCTACTGCTACTACTGCTCCTACCATGTAGACGTACGAATACACTACGACTCTTTCTTTCTGCCCACGCCAGACTCGAGATCGTTGTTGTTATGATTGTGGTTCAGGCACACAACCAGCATCGCTCAGGATCCCCCGATGCACCCCAAGTAAGAGAACCGTCCATGTATACATACCCTTGCCCCGTCATCCCATTATCCAGGAGGCGCTATAGCCAAGCTACAGATACAACGAGAGACAGGCATCGTGCACCTCCTCTCCTCTCCTCTCCTCCCCTCCCTCTTCACGGCCCCCGGTCTCATCTACCTAGTACCGATGACCCCGTCTTCCTCCCCTTGTCGTTAAACCTCGCAGTACGACTGGGTAGTACGTACCCCGTAGATGACCCAAGACGAGGACCTTGAACCGACCCTTGCTTAGCTACCATCAGAACCGCACACCCCCGTCGTCGCCGCCTTTCGTCTGGTCCCAGGCCTGGCGTAACGGTCCCAAGACTTATCCCACTCTCTCTGCCTCTGACCCACACACAATTTGTGACAGGCGATTGTGGCATCTCATCGTCCAGGGATCATCGTGTGGATTTACGCTTGATCACCCATTCCACTCTGCTTCGGGAGATCTGATATACCTGCCTCCCCCATCTGCCACCTCTACTCCATCCACCCACCAACAAGCTTCTTTCGCCAGGCCATTTCATACTTAAACTACCCACCCTCCCCTTCCCCCTCATCGTCTTGGAATCTTGAATAACTCCTGAAGCAAAATCAATCTCTAGTATCCAGCTGGCACTTGGGGCTAATCACTACTCTACATCTAATACCTGTTGTGTTTCTTAATATTCAACGAACCTACCACCATCACCACCACCACCACCACATCAACCAACTCTGTCATCAACTCATCGACGACAAGACCGAAGACAAACTACAAGGAAAGGAGCAACAATACCACGCAACCTGCACCACAAGCACACTTCAAGGTTTTCAAAACTCTAATCAGCAACAATGGCGAGCGCTTTAATATCGAACCCGTACGCTGCTCAGCAAAGTGCACACTACGGATACGTCCAACCGCCTCAACCTCCCCCATCGCCTCCCATGGACGAGACATCAAAGTGCTCTCTCCCCTCCATCTCGAATCTCCTCGGCCTCGCAGACCAGGGCTCGCCCACATCCGAGACGCACCCTCAGATTCCCCAGCAAGGTACGGATAGGATGGAAAGCGCAACGGACAACAGCAACAGAGTACTGACCTCCCGCATAGCATCCTCCCAAAAGTGTGAGACGAGACCAAACTCTTCTCACTATGGCCGCGGCGGACTTCCTCCCACGCCTCCCATGAGCTCCGACGCTTCTTTCGATGGCTACAACTCTCCCTCAACGAGATCCATCAGCCAGCTTTCCGTCGTCTCCCAACCTCAGAGCAACTACTACTATGAGTCCACGCCGCCTCTGGAAGCCGAAGCCCACCGCCACATGGCTCCCATGATCCCAAGAGTGCCCGTCCAAGGCTCATACGCCCAGGCTCAACCGTTCCCGCCTGCCTACATGCCTGCCCATAACCCCATGGCGGCTTCTTACTACCCTCCCATGCAGCACACCCCTCCTCCTCAGGCTCAGATCTCTGGCATCTACTACCAGCGCCCTCTCCCTCAACAGTTCCCGCCCATGGCCCCCGTTCCCGTCGGCATGGGCCCCAACGGCACCAACCCGTGGCAACATCACCACTACATCTCCCCTTCCTCCGCCGCATCCTTCCCCCAGAGCCAGGACCGCTACATCTGCCAGACCTGCAACAAGGCCTTCTCCCGCCCTTCATCCCTTCGCATCCACAGCCACTCCCACACCGGCGAGAAGCCCTTCAAGTGCCCACACGCCGGCTGCGGCAAGGCTTTCAGCGTCCGCAGCAACATGAAGCGTCACGAACGCGGATGCCACAACTTCGAAAGCGGCAGCACCTGCAGCAACTGATCGACAATTATAATTGAACGGTTATTTCTATTTACTGTTATCATGATCAATACGACCAAAATCCTGGGGTAGAGTCGTCAAACGCGCAAAAGAGCTGGAACGGCACAGGGGAAGGGGTTCGGACCGGTTTCAACGGGAAAGATACCACGTGGTAGAACATTGTTATCACTTCTACCGCAACTGCAACAACAAACGAAATTCAATTTTTACATCATAATCAGCAACGACGAAAAGATTCAACAAAAAACCCAAACAATCAAATCAAGGTCTTTTCAACGGCGTTCAACTACTACAAAAGAGGGTTCCCCACGGATTGGAGAACATCATCCACGGGGCGGTCCTTTGGATTCGGGGAAGATGGTCACTCAAAGGCAGAGGAAGAAATATGTTTCTTCTCAACATGTGTTAAAGTTGGCTTGTCTTCTATTTCCCTTTTTCGTCTGCTTTTTACTACCGGAGCAAGAGGCGTGAATCATGGCTGGGGCAAAACTGGTCACGGACAAGAAGTCCGGCCAAGCAACGAGAAAACTTGGCATTTACAGGCGTTTTGAGTTGTATACGGGGGGTGGGGTGGATTGTGTGTGGTAGTGGCACGATGTCTATTGTGTGTGACTAGTTCTCCGTTCGGAGGCAAGTCGAGAGTCAAGGTTAATCCTGTAAGGATTCCTGTCTTGGCAGTGTTTTGGGTTTTTATTTTCTCTTTCCACTATTATTCCGGTTCTTGAACGATTACATCAAAATGTACGATTATGTGGTAATGTATATAGAAAGGAGAAGCCGCACAGAATCGAACAGAGGAGAGGATTAAAGATCATCATCAGTTTCCCATACTTTGCACAGTGACTTGGTGGTTTCGTCGGTATTGGCCACATCTTTTCGTCCCAAGACGTAACATGTGTGGGATTGGCCTTGTGGGTTGGTTGTGTCGCAATGAGGCGAACTTCGTCCCCTTGCAACACAAGACTGGACCGGAGCACGTAGGAAAGCTCGGATCAATCCGGTTGACTTCCTTCCCATCACTAACACATCACTAATATTTTGACTACCGATATGTGTTTCCTCACGGACTCACAAATTCGGAATGGTACTCCGATACAACAACATGAAAGCATAGTTGCTGTGAGCCATTTCTTACTACGTTGACTGCGAGGCTTGAGACCGGACGGAAAAGCCGCCGATCGCAACATTGTGAGATGGCAGCTGCTGATGACACAGGTACACCCGTTAAACTCCACCAGGGTGGGAGGGGAAAGCCTGAAGGGAGGGGGCTTTCCCATTTTCTCTATGGATCTAGCAATTCTAGCCTCTAGGTAGCTCCTCCACTGTCTCCATTGATTGAAAAGGAAAAGAAGAGCCAAGTTCCAGAGCGGGAACGTTGGGTCTCGGGGAGAAGTGCGAAGCGATAGAGGAGGCGGTAGGGCGGAAGACGGCAATGATTGACAAGGGGAAACCAGCCGGAAGAAAGAAAAAAAAAAAAAAAAAAGAAGAGCAGATGGTCGACGCTGCAGAAAGGTGCCAGAGAGTTGGTGGTGCCCTTGGGATGAGACAGTCAGAAGATTTACGCTTAAAAAAAATCCACCGCCTGATTTTCTTGTGAGGTGGTATGTGCCTCTCTACCAGTTTCTCTCTCACTCTGTTGTATAAGGTGTAAGAGAAGTGAGGTCAGTGTTGCTTTGCATTTTTGTTTCGGCCGGTCTTCTGCAGTTGATCATCTCCAAGGTTGACCGATGGAACCCAAAATCTCTCCAACGTCTGAAGAGGCCAGATTTTATTTCGTCCACGGCAAAATAGCCGGTGGTGCTGAAGGTCATGCGGCCAACCCATCATCTCTCTTCGTCTCTTATTCTTCAGCAAGGTAACTCCCAAGTGTGTGCTGTCTCCGTTGAGTCTATTTTGCCTTTCGCTCCTTCGCCTCATCGCTACTTGACACGAGACTTGCCCGACACTATTTTGTTCAGACCGATGAAACGAACCGGAGACCCCAGCCCGAGCGTTGGCCCTCTGCTGACCGACTGAGATTTCATCCTTTCTTTTCGAGATTTTGCCTTTCCGTTCCTGATCCCATCCCTTCCCGCAACCGCAATGCGGCTGAAGTGTGAGGTTGAGAAAGTGTGTGATGTGACACCTGACTGGGGGATGAGAGTTGGCTCTTGCACTGCTCTGTCAGCCATGTATAATAGGCTCGAGGCGTCTCGTGCACGTCACGGAGTGGGCTTTTCTTGACTTGATTGTTTCTACGCTGCGGTCTGTGTGTTCGCTTCACACGGCACGGCATTGAAGAATATCAGGCATGGTATGTGCGTGCATACATGTAGTACACACGGCACATACACACACATACAGTACTTCCCGAGCCAGTTCTGTGTTTACGAGTGACTGATTCGGGGCCTCCTTGAAGGATGATGACATTGAGAGTTTTAAGATTGCAATGTCTTAATTCATGAGATGTACTCTGTAGCTTTTCGAATTAAGGAGCTTCCACCTGTTGGTGGACTACCTCACAAACAGTACGTGGCCCTGCTCGGGAGCTTATGTTCCCAAATGTTTAGTTAGCGCCACCGAACCGGAGCAACTGAGCCTCCAAAGTCCGAGTTGAGAAATGGCCGGCCCGCTGCCCTACGGAGTACGTGGGTTTTTGCTTGTTCAGCTTTGCTATCCGAAAAGGCACAGAGTGTCAGTGACAAGACAAATCAAGGCCGATTCTCGTTGATCTGACTAGCGTCGCTGGCTGAGTCGATGGGTCTCTGGGCGGGGAGGGCTCGGGAAGTTGGACGATCGAAACTCTTTTGCACCATAGAAGCGCCGATGGCCACACACACGTACGAAGTACTCCGTACATACACAGAGAGAGAGAGAGAGAGAGAAACAGGGTCACATACACTATCCGAACCCGCGTGAACCAAAGAAGAGCAAAGTCTGTTATGACAGCGCCGGACCAACCCCGGGTAAAGAGGAAGGGAAGGGCAAGGTAGGGGTCGGGGAAAGGGATGGCTGTCAGGATTGATGCAGCCAACGCCGATCTGCGCTGCGATAGAGAGTGAGAGACGGCAGGGGGAAGAAACAAAACCTACAACTCTAAACCGGGGGGTTAAGAAAGTTGGCCACTGTGACTGGACAGAAAGGGGGGAAAGGGGAGAGGCTTTGCTCTCTTGGATTGCGACGGTAGCATCGAGGGACACGGGGACACGGGGATGGGAAGATCAAAGTACGCAATTTGGGGACAATTTCTCGGGGACAAGGTCGGAAAATGTCCATTTACGACCTGTTACGACGTGGGCGAGTTTCCCATCGCGGCTCCAACGGTGCAACGGCGCCAAAAGGGGGAGACAATGGCGTAGCATCAACGGCTGGGGACTCAGCTTTATTGGCCTGGTGGCGCGAACTACTTTTCTGCCGCCATTTGTCTCTTTTTTGCCGGACAGGGCAGAAGACGGAGAGGCATATCGGCGGCACATTAAGCTTCTCGTGTCGTCCTGACTCGGCCTGCAACGTCAAAGTCTCTCAGGTGTCATGCTGCAATATTGACAAGAAGCTTTCTGGCAAGGTGTGTTTGTTTGTCAATATCGATCTGTCGTTTCTCGCCCCCCCCCCCCCCCCCCCCCCCCCCCCTTTCTTTTTGTTTCTTCATGGTGCCCGTAATATAATGAATATTAATGTTTTCACCCTCGTTTTTCCTTTCATTCAGAGCGGCCCCTTTGATCTGACAGGGTTCGTAGAACTCTATTGATATGATTTGCAAAGGATCAAGGCGCCCTTAATTGCAATTATGTTATATTATCCCGCGTTTTACCCATCGAGTCAATCTTCTGCCCATCATGGGCACTCGTTGTTTTGATGGATGGATCTCCGGACCCTTAATTCATCGTACTCATACTACGTGCGTATGTAATACCAAGCTTTTCCTTCGCTGGCATCCTGTTGGAGAAAATGGGGACTCTCCCCCGAGCGGGGTTGTTGACTTACGAGTCTAAGACATGGCTTGACAAGCTTGTCAAAACCCCCCGAGGAAGCCGGCTTGTTATGGGAAGTCCAATCTCGGGAGTCGGGCGGACGCGGTGTGGATCGACTGGCGCTCCGAGATGAGGCTTTCAAGCGCCGCTGGCACGGATGTACGGAGTAGTCCCTTCTCCAAGTGTAGGTGTTTACTTTACTCTGGTGTTTTGGGGCATCGCATCGGAATGGTCTACTTTGATGACGATGCTGTTGTTATTATTGTTATTGTTCATGCCCCCTTTCTACACCCGTCTCCCTCAACAAGACCCTTCCCAGTTACCGAAGAGAATGGATTCGACCCGCAAACGGTGATCACCATTCCATCTCGCAGCGCAAAGAGGGACAATGCCTGCAGCGCCAGGCACAAAATCCACAGGAAAACAGCGTGGGAGCCCGGCTCTATGCAGAGCCAAAAGGAACTCGCCCGACGCAGGGAGGAGGGGCCGACGACAATGACTCTCTGTAGACTGTGGGTAGAGTGAGCCGGCAACCGTTTTCTCCATCAAGAGCCCAGTACTCCGTAGTGTGGTCTACATACGCCGCTACGGATATTCCGAAGAGTGTGAAGGGCTGCTTTCAACGTTCACCTCCCACCGTCGTCAGCCACAGGGCAGTGCTTGCCTTTCTGCCCCTCCCTGTGCTTTCACTGCAATCTTGGAGTTGAAGGTTAGTCTCTAATAAGGCAATACAAGAGTGCCGCTGGAGCCCGGTAAGATAGATAGCACGGCTAGTTACTAATGACTCTGTCCTCACGCTAGACGCAGACCAAAATCCTTCTAGCGCTGCGCGCCAGAAAGTCAAAACCAGGGTCGAGGGGGGGGGGGGAAGAAGGTACACACCTTTCACCTCTCTGGCGGAGCGATCTTGGCTAACGATAGTTTGGGGCCCCTCCCTCCACCTTTCCGAGCCCCCTACCCTGCCCGGCGCGCCGGGAAGAGTGGCAGCGGTGGCCTGTCCTTGCCGACGTTCGTCGGGAAGCTTGCGATGGCCCTAGTGAATCCGTGCTCTTTGGCTCTCTTTCTTACTCTCACTCTCTCTTGCTTGTCGTAGCTTGCTGGCCATTGGCTCCTCCTCTTCTTGGCTGTTCGGCGCCGAACGAGGACTGAGGCTTTTGGCTGGGAGGATGAGCCTAAACGAACAAGAGACACTAGAGACTAGAAAAGTTTAGGACGGATGGTGCCAAGAGCTCTTGATGGCCTGATCTACCCCATGGCGTCATGAGGACCGGCTCTCACTGTGAGGAGACAGATCCCTTTGGGCATGAATGTCGGGTTATTGGCAAATCTCGCTCTGGGACCGGCGATTCGGTACAGGTCATCGCCCCGTCCAGCGTATCGTCAATGATGGACTTGATCGTGTCGCGTGTGAGGTGGGATAACGTAGTAATCAATATTATCGAGAGGCGTTCGCCAGTTATTGCATCTCATGTTGCATTTGGCATGCTCTCCAGGCTTTCTCGCTGCCACCGTCTCAACCGGCGATGCCATTACCTGTAAAGAGCGCAGGTTCTCTCTGACTGACCGCCCGAGAAAGCGAGGATTACAACTATTACTGGGCAGTTGACTAGCTAGAACTTCGGATGGGATTGGGGAGGGGGGGGGGGTCGGTCACTCACTGTGCCCACCCCATCTGGCCGGTCCCAGCTCCGTCTCATTGTCATCAAAAAGTCGAAGTCAAACAAGCAGAACCCTTGCAGGACATTCGAGCAGGGGATGCGTGCCGATCACGGGCTCCAGCTGAGCCTGTTCCTGCAGAGCCGACGACTCAGGATCCGGCGTGCTCGATGTCCTTGACCGGGCTGGGGCTGGGAGAGCCTGGGTCGATACTCGAAGACTCAACGACCAGGGACCGGCATTCCTTGCTTGCAGACCTCAGACGATTCATATCCTTTCTTGGCGGGGATCTCTCTTCTCTTCTTCCTTGGAGACTTGGAGTCTCGTGCGTTCCCTTTCCCCCTCCCCCTTCCCTTCCAATCGTGCAAACCCCCCCTCCCCAGTCCAGCCCTCAACCCTTCAACCCTTCCCACATCACACTCCCCCGGGCCTATCTTTCTGTAAACGTGCGTTCGATGCTACGCAGCGGGCAGTCTTGCCTGGGAAATCGCACGCTACGCCGCTAAACCAGCCTACCACGCTTGAACCAGTCCATCACCGTTCCCAGTATCGCGGCGGTGGGAAATTTGGTTGGCTCATCGTCCAAGTTTCTGAACCCGTCACGACGGAGAGTCCGTCGACTACCACGTTAGCGCGTCCCCTCCGAATGGTACCGGCGACGGACGGCAGGAAACTCTGTTCTGTGCCACGCCCATCCCACGAGCATTATGGAGTACTCTCGTAGTATTGACTGTACCACGGTATTCGTAGAGTGAGTGTATGGGTAGAGTGCAAACTGGACGCTCACGCAACTCAGCTAGACGGGGAATCCCTTCTTTGGGATGGTTCAACCGCTCAACCGAGACGTGAGCGTCTTCGTCTTAGTCGACAACTTATTGGCCCGTTGAACTTTGTCTTCAGCGGCGCTCACACCACCTTCTTCCACGTCTTCTTCTTCTCGTCCATTCCTTTTCCCTTCCCACTCCCCCGGTGTGCGGTGTGCAAAGGTCAGAGAAAAGATGATGGCCACACGTTGTGTTTCAAAGCCTTTCATCTGATCGATGAGCAACCTTACACTCTAATCCACGACACGCCGAAGTACAGCCTTGCTGCCCAGACACACCTTCCTACCCTCCCTTGATGAGCCAAAATCTGAAAAAAAGAGTCCGCGCCGCTGGCAGGCCGCTGCTTGTCAGTTTGAGCCCAGCGGCAGAGGAAGGAATGACGACCGGTTCAGACGGACGAGCCACTCTGCCATCGCAGAATCCAACTCAATGCTGCGATGACACTCCCCTCCATTTCCCCCAGTCGCCCACCATCTTCCCGGCAACAAACCACATTGCTGAAACAGTCAGATGAAGGAAGGACTGGGCTGTTGTTGTAGTTGGCGCTTTAGGTTGCCTCGCTTCAGTCTGCGAAAAACCGTAACACCAGAGACGTCAGTGTTTGAGCCTCGCCAAGCGAAGAGAAAAGACACAACATGGCTTGTGGGTTCAATTTCCTCACTGCTAGAAGCCTTCTGCGACATCCATATCGTCTGCTCGCCGCTCGGACGGCAGCATTTTCCTGAATGACACCTAACGTTTCCCGCTGCGACGCCAATGCACTAGTAAAGAAGTGACACTCGCAGAGCAACCGTCCACAAGACGATGGTCCGGGTTTACGGACGAGAGAGAGCCTGACAGAGTCGAGAAAGGGAGGGTCAGAACGAACGGCATCCAATCTCTGTCCCTGCAAAGGGGAGAGAAAATCATCAAGACATCCCAACTATTATCCCGATAATAGCCCATCGTGCCCATCTCCCCCTTCCCTTCTGTGCTGCTCCCTACGGAGAACTCCCCGGACGATCCCAAAGATCATCTTGATCAACATGATCAACCACCTATTCCGAACAGCTGCCGACGGCCTGGGCCCTTTCCCTCCCCCTCCCCTCCTTATCTCTTTCGCAGATTTACGGCGGCAGCGGGTTGCTGCCCGCTGCCGATTTGCCTGTTAGGCTAGTCAACTGCCGAAGGATTCCTGGTGTCTCTCTTAGCAGTCCCTCTCAAAAATTCCCTCACAAAAGTCACTAGTAGCCTAGTGGTAGAATAGGAAAAACGATAGAGAAGGCGGCAGAGCCACCACGGCCCGACTGTGCATACCGAATCCGAGACTCCAGAAGACTAGTGATCGTCGACCAACGTCGCAGACAGCCAACGACGTTACGTACGCATCCCGAATCTCCCAATATTGTCACTTTGAGATTGAGAATGGACATGGCGGCCGTGGCCCTGGGCAATTCCGCATGGTTCTTGCAATCTTTTGCTGTAACTCCGCGTGCTCCGCATTCTAGCCTACGCGTTACAAGACGAAGAACACCAGACAACAAGTCGTGGGGCAAGATGTCGAAAAACGTGGTAAATAATATCCGTAGGTTCAGAAAGTAGAGGCTAACATTAAGATACGGCTATTGCGGCTACAATGACCACGAGGCAGACAAGGCTCTATCATGTAACCAGACCAAAGAGCCAATGGCAAAGAGTCTCAAACTTGGCCTTGGTATCCAATCCAAACCGTGGTTATAGGAAGCCCAGATGCGATGGAACTCTACAGATACGTATCGCTGACTCCCCCTGCCCCCCAGAAGGAGAGAAAGACACCCTCGTCCACGTCTGTGACAACCCTCCCGTTTCAGGTGGCTTGGAGGGGTTGGGGGAGACTGAGAAGGGGGAGGGTAAGGTAGGGTAGTTAGGTAGGGGCGTGTGGTGTGTGGCGTGTGAAGGCTGGGCTGGGCTGGGTTTTGCGGCAACGTCGCCTTCACTCTGAATCTTGACAAGCGGGATCGCGGACGCCGGTGCGAACTCTGTGAGCTTCATTTACCACCATAAGTCACTGCGAAATCACCATCATTATCAACCCGCGCTGGGAGCACCCGTGGAGATGTGCCGTGGTGTCCTCCAGTGTTCGCTTCAGCTTCCAACGTCGCCCGAGTGTCTCTCATGTCGGTGGTTTACTAACAGCTTTGTCAACCAACACCAATCCACCCGTAAACCTTTTTCCATGTTTTTTTTTTTGTTTCCCCCCCTTCTCCATGTCTCTGCCTGCTTTTCTTTTTTCCGCGTTCGCTCAGCCAGAAGGAGAATATAGCCCCGAGACAGGACAATTCTAATGTTCAAATGTTGACTCGAGTGCAATACCTAACTTAACCAGAGGGCACATCACATCTCACACACACACACACACACACACCAGGGAGCGAAACCGATCGACGAAACTTTGGGGCGTGGGCTGCTTGTCTTCCCCTTCTAGCTCGTGGATCGCCGGACGCTAACGCATTGCCGGGTGTGTGTCTGTGGGGGTGAGGAGGGCAGAAAAAGGGAAAGACAGTAACCACTGGCAGATTCAATAGGGAAAAGGTAATAACGACACCCAGTAATACGAAGTAGACTCTAGAGCAAGCAAAAAGAGTATGGGTTCAATAAGATGACGGAGGCTCCCACGCGCGCCACCGCCAACCCCCACCCCCCTTGCCGGGACGAACGACAAGCAGTCGGACAGACCAAGGCCAACGAAGAGACGACATGAACCGCAGGTTGGCGGAAGATGCCGTACCGTACCGCTTCGTGCGTTGGGCCTCCAATCGGTCATGACTTTCCTATTCTCGCATTCACGGCCGGGCGTCGGTGCGCCAGGCTTCGTCCCTTTTGAGAAGAAGTCTCACGACTCGAGTGTGACGCACGCATGGCCGCCGTCTGGTCTCATGGTCTGGCTTGGCCTTTTTCCTTGTTCCCCTTGTCTTGTCTCTGACTCTCTCTCTCTCTCCCTCTCTCTTCTTTTCGTCCCAACTTGGAGAGTCCCCGGGCTTTTGGCGCAAAGCTGGGGTATCCCGTTACGCTCATGGATGACTCCGAATGGTACATGGGTCTTGCCAGACCGTCTTTTGGCAGCGTTCCGTTCCCAGCGTGGTACGGATACTGCGGTACCAAAAATGTGAATATCCTCAACCAGGGGGTGGTTAGGGAAGTGGAGTGTGTCCATCGAGGCTCCAAAAAGACTCCTCCCAGGGACGACAGCTCCGCACAGGCGCTTGCGTTCATCAATCATGATGTAGGGGGCTTCACGGAAACGAAGCTTCCGTGAGGTAAAGGGAGAGATAACTAGCCAGGGTATTGGGAAAGCGGGAGAGCAATAAGACCCTGAGTACCGGGGATTTGCAGTTTGGTAACGTGTTTCGAGAATCTCCTGGTTGAAAGATCGTCGATAGAGTGCGTAAATCCCCCGAACCCTAAACCGGATGACCACAGGGCCATTCACCTCAACAGGCGTCCAGCATCTCATACATGATGCGAGCCGGGACAACCGTCAAGGGGGTTGAGGCGGTGAGAAACAAAGTCTGCCCACATCACAGGATCCTGTGTCCCCTGGCAGGGGCGGCCGGCTTCTCGCAAAGTGCAAGCGATGAGCAGCTAGGTTATGGTCAAGTTGCAAACGAGAAGTCGATTACGGCTTCATAGTCGCTGCCATATCATGCGTTGCCTTCCTGTGACCCGTCGTTCGCCCTGTCAACTACCTGCCATCAGACCGTCAAGTTTCGTCTGTATTCCAAGTCAGACTTGACACAAGCTTACCGCCACCGCTTGTCAAGCGGGTTGAACGCGTGGCATCCCATCTTCATAGGCGAATTGCCAGGCATCGCTTAGTCCTTCACGGTCTCAAGTTGTTCAGCCTACCCACGATCTGACAGCCGAGCCTCATGCACATCGCCTCGATCCTTCAAGGAAAGTGGGATGAGCCAAGCAGGGTCGAGGCGTCAGACGATGCATCTTTTTCGCCTTCCCATGCGGTTTGTGGTGGCCAAGATGCATGATATGCTCCTGACCCTCAGGGTAGCCTTGTGAGGCTGGCCCCTGACCCATGAGGCATCTCAAACAGTATCCGCGCCAGACACCTGTCAACCCCCCGAGTGGGCTCTCCCGATGCGGGGGACAGAGGTCGGAGGCTGGCTCGCCCGGACGCAAGAATAGCATCCTCTGTGACGATACAGTAAGATGTCGCCGGGTCAAGGGCCCCTGTTGGCATGAAAGATCTGTTGAGGCTCAAAGCTTGGCTTTCAGTCTTCTTTTGATGTCAACTACTGTCATCACTTTTGACGGGCGGGTCATCGTGTTTCGACTCGCCTGGCTGCGGTGGCGGCGTTTCAACTCGGAAAGTTGCTGGTATATCAAGGTGTACTATAGACTATAACAACAGATGGCGTTTCTTGACATATGTGCCGTCTGGCCCGAGGCTGCCTGTGCCATGACTTTGTATCTCCAGAGTCCTCGTTTGTATAGCCTTCAGTCTCAAGGGGCGTCTTAATAGCTAGACTGATCGTTCCAGTACAGGGTCTCATGGTACACCCTGTCATTGGGGGGTTAGCATATAGGATGTCAATTTGCCTCCTCGTCATGATCCGAGGGCAATGCAAGCATATCGTGAGAAGGCGTAACCCGCAAAGGAAAGATCGAAGCATGGAAAACTCACTCGGGTCCGGTAGCATACAGGGGCCAGCCGAGCTTCAGAGTGATGTACTGTATCAGGTGGCTCGCGACCTTGATCTGGCCGACATCCGTCGGATGCCACTGTGGCGCGATGTCGTTGTGCTGGAGGATACCTGTGGTGTTGAAGAAGTGCACGAAGGGTGTTGCTGGTTTGCCCGTCTGCTCGGTGGTATTTGTGACAGCATCCCAAGTTGTCGGGTTACTTAGGTATTCTTCTGTGTTGAAGTACTCGTAAACGCTATACACTTCGTCTCGAAGGTCGGTGTTCTGGCCATAAGTGTTGCCATCCTGGAAAAAGCCCTGCCACATTTGCTACCGCTGCACTTAGTGGGCTGTAGATACTGGCTGAATAGTTGAGCGTACCATGACTATGACCTGAGCTTCGGGCCACTTTCCGTGAATACCCTGGATGAGTCTCCTGTAGTGTTCAACGTAAGTGGCTTTGGTGACATTGTTTGCAGCATTCGCATCATTTGTGCCGAGGTTGATGACAGCGAGGTCGGCAGGAGGGTTTCTGGAGAAGTCCCAAGGCTCTGGTTCATCTGCACAGGTTGCCGTCAGTATCATGCCTTCCAAGATTCGCCCGGCGGAGATCTGAGGTCGATTTGACAAGGCCATGTTTGCCCGGTTCCCTATTTCGAACTGAGTACACATACCTCCCCATATTTCGTTTGCCCGTCCGCCTGTGTCTGATGTATAGAACCATTGGTGAGATTGTCCTCGAGGGTTGCCCCAACAGTCTTGGTCGGCGACGCATATGCCCGGATAGGCTGTAATGGAATACTCGGTATCTCCCAGACCCGCGCCGACACCGTAAGCAAATCCCGCGAGGGCCTCGTAAGTATTATACATGCCTGCTGACAGGCTATCACCAATAAATTCTACTCGACGAGGATAGTCGGGAATCTTGACGAGCTGCTCTCCAGAAGCCACATGAACCTTGTCAATTTGGACTCCATAAGCCCAGTTTGTCACTCTCATCTCGAATGTAACTGGGCTGACAGGACCAGCTAGCTCGATGCCTGGAGTGTCGGAGCTCACGAACTGATGAATGCCGCCCGCCGTGACGTTAGTGTGCATCCAGTCTAGACCGGCGATTCTGTAGGCGACGAGAGTATTGTTGATAGTCTGATTACCGAATGTGACCGCGAGTGTCTGACCGGTGAAGCCGAATTTGATGCCCGGGGCTCTACGCAGCCTGAGTTCATGAATAATTGCCACAGTCCTAGGGTATACTTACGCCCACCACGATATCTGCTTTGAATCCCATCGACCTTTGTACGATATCTCTTCGGCATCGGCATCGTATGTCTTGAACTCGGCAGGAGTCGGGTCCACCTTCGTATCTATGAAGCTCGTTACTCTTGGGCGGCCATTCTCCAAGATGGTTGCGGTGACGGCAGAGATACAAGCCAGTGCCGTTGAGAGTGAGCGTATCATCATCATTACGGTGTTCTCAGCAGCCAATTGCCTAACAAAGACGCCCGGTGAAAATTGCCCAGCAAGAAAGGTGTACACATCATGAACAGAGAGATATAAGCTTCTTATATTACCTCGTGGCCTATGAATCTGAACGAGGGTAGTCGTGCCGACCCCTCATGACGATACGGACTAAGAAGCTTGTGCGGTATGAGATGGGCCGAAATGAGCGGAAAACACAGTACCTCCCCGACCAGAGTCACCTTTGGATTGGAGAAAGCATACCGGCTAATCGGGTCGTATGCCGTCCCGATATTCCAGATACCGATAATTGTGAAATGAAGAATTACATTCCACAACTGCTCCTCGCGCATACAGCAAGGCGATACTCTCTTAACATATGAGCAACCTCAACGTGTATGTATATGAGGCTGCTGGCTCTTTGATCTGTGACATCTTCTGAGATTCGAATCTGTCCTGAAGGCGAGGAGTCCTCGATCTTCTGCCCGTTCGTCCGAATATGCGATACCGACGGGGGAAAGTCGTTGGGTATCCGTAGGTGTATTCCACGGAGGGAGGAGCTCCGCGGGCCCGATTGGTGAAAGCGAGGTGTGATGAAATGTGGATCTTTCGGTGTGGGGTACCCGCTGTGGCCCGGCATCCGGAGAAAGGTGCTGTCTTTTCCGGCCCGTTAGGTCGGAACGTTGTGGGTATTGAAGTTCGGGGACTAGGTTGTTACACATTCCGTAGGTGTTTAGTTTAGACCGCGCCGATTATCCCGTCAGACAGTTGACCGTTGACCTGCGTTACGCCGATGGCCAACAAGAAGGAGATCCCGCCTTCGGCTTGGTTCTACAGTCCCGACAACGTAAAGAGATAGCTCGGAAAGCGGCGTTTGAGAACTATTATCCTGCGTTGAAAACTATCATCAGACACATGAGAGCAACCCCTTGCGTATCGGGGAGACACTTGAGCCGACCTGTTTCACGACAATTGAGGTTGAGGCATAGATCTGCCCAGTGTTGGATAAGGGGGCTCCATACCCGAGGCAAGTGTCATGCAAGGCGTGATGTGATGTGCATATCGTTGCTGCGTTGAATCTCGTGGCGCGACCATGTGCATACGTCTCTGCAGCATCCCACAGCGCGGGAGCTGCAGCACCTCTTCCTCGTCTTCGGCGCACAATCGTATTGGTGCATCGGCTCGTCTAGGCTGCGCCGATGGAGATGTGACGTATTCCCATGTGGTGGTTGATCCGGTCAAGCTTGACATGTGTCTTTGGTGAAAAGAAAGACCATGCCGACACCAGCACGAACGATAGTGGTGCTAGTAGCAACCGAGAGGTAGCATGAGTTATATTTGGTCTGCCGAGGAGTTGGAAGCACGGAAAAGAGGCTTGGGCTCTCCTATCGAACTCTGAAGGTTGGTAGAACAAGGTAGGATGCGGATGGGATGGAATGTCACCTGTCCGGCCGGTCCTAATGCCCAAGTTGTATCCGTTCCTTCGTGGTCGGGGGCCTCGGGGCGAGGGTCAATCACGGTGTCGTCTAACCGTACTTCGTAACAAGCCGCATTCCCCGGGATGCCGGCGGGGGGGATCGCTCAAAGCTATCATCCCTGCGGCAGCGAACCCAGCGTGACGGACTCCAGGGTAGGCACTGACCGCTCAGGTATCCCCACGGGAAAGGAAGAGATCCCTTTGGACAGCGTAGACGATGGTTGATGGTTCCAAGGTTTCGAAGCGCCAGACCGCTGAGTTGCAGTCGTTCGGATGCTCCATAGAGGCCCATGTTTCTTGTTGACCGAGCCTACCTTCGTTGCGCCGGCCGGGGGTCGTGTTGTGGGCAAAGTAGAAGAAAACACGGTGAGCTGGGCAACTCAATTTCGGGGAGAGCAGAAAACGGTATCCGGAGCGAAGCAATTGCGGCGATGAGGAGGAATCTAGAAGCAAGGAAGTGCCATGAAAACAAGAATACCTCATGGAGTCAGCAGTACGGTGAAGGTTGTGCGAGGGAGGACGTCAATCACACGCGCAACTTGGTGAACAGACGTGGAAGGAGGAATGCGCCGTGAGGTACCTGCCGTTTGTAAAGGTCAAAACTTTGGGAAACAACCTGGATGTCCGGCGCATCATCGTCACACCGAGCCACGGGAGACTGGTACTTCTTTCCTCGCTGGAATTGGCACAGAACCGAGGTACCTCGTCGACCGTGCACATGCATCTCCTGGTGTAAGGGGGCCATCCATCCAACAACTTCGTCGACTTCCATTGCAACTTCATTTTTCGATCGATGAGACCTTCAAATAGTAAACCATCCACCGCCAACATACTGAGCACTCTCTCATCCTCCTTGGCGGTTTGTGTCTCGCTCTCGAGTCTCGCATTTAAGTCTGGTTCCATCCGTCATCGGTCCCCCTCCCTTCGTCCGCTTCTCGCATCGCCATCGCCATCACCATCACCTGTCAACCCCTCAATTGCCTACCATCTTTCGAACCATCCCTAGCAATAGCGTTCATCGAGCCGTGGGTGTCTTGGGCTTCTCCGAGGTAGTAGATAGCGATTTCGACACCCATCACACCCTCCCGGAATCCATCATCACGAGCCCAGCAGCCCTCCGTCCAAATAGGAAGGCCAATAATCTCGCAATACCACCACGGCGGAAACACGGCGCTTGTCTTGAATTAACGATATCGACCGAGGGATGCCACACCGTTCCTGTCCATTCACACACCACTTACTCTCCGCTCCTGTCTGCCGCGTGCGCTACTCACCTTACCTTACCTTACCTTACGATTCGCGAAGGGGACTTTGGCACGGAACGAGAAACTGACAATAAGGCTGGCAACCAACAATCCTCGGCTACAAACTCCTTGTCGGCTCAATTCCCGTCATTACTTTGCCAGAATCAGCCATTGATTGCCTACCCTTATTAGCCTTGCAGCCACCTCCCGCCAAGATTGCTTTTTGCGACCTCCAGAGCATCGCTTCCTGCATTGTCGCTGCTGCTAGCTGCTGCGGCGCCCCAGAGATCGACCATCAGCTGATACCGAGCTTTCCCCCATTGTGCAGGGGAAAAAGAAACCGCTTCCCACGCTCTGGATACATCAAATCTCTCTGCACAAGAAGCTGTGTTCTGTCGCCAGGGACCATCCCGTTCGCGTGCCCTTTGCGACGGCGCCTTTGCGCTCTTTTACCCCCAACAAGTCAAAGCGGCCGAGACCTGGGCTGGGTCTGAGCCTGGGTGTCCCAAAACCGAGACCTGTGCGGGTAGCAGCGACTAGCGAGGCATCGCGGCGGTGGAGGGTGCGGACTCACCGGTTGTGTATCACCAAAAAAATCCCCAACTTCGAACACTGTACCTCTGTCTCTCTCTTTCTCCTTCACCTCCCCTTTCCTTCTGTACACAACTTCGCTCAGCCTTCTCCCGCCCATTCAGATACTTCGACGACACTCCTTCGATCCGATCTTATCTCATGGTTTCGAACCTTACAGCGATACATTCTACCCGTTGCGACATCACGAAGCTCCAGCCATCCTAACAGTCCCTGGCCAGTCCGAACTCAATTCGCCCGCGCGCTGAGCTCGCAGCCCGATCTGACAGCAATGATCTCCGTTGGCGCTACGATATCATGACTTTGCGCGCGTTACCATCGCCCAAACAAAGGCTACATCACTTGTCGGCTCCGAGCCACAGCTCATGCTATTCGTCGCGCTCGCATCCGCAGCTGCACCTCTCACCTTCGCCCCCGACTGTCGTCAAACCCCTCCTCTCCCTCGAACCCCACCTCCGACAGGGACAATACCCCGACACTTGTCGCCGCCGCCGTAGTGTCGTACGGCAATCATCCACCATCGAACACAGACAACCCCAACGCGAAACAACCTCAACCGCAAGCCTTGCTTTCGTCCAGCCGCGCACGGTGCGTTGCACCGAGCCATGTCGACCACCCAAGCCAATGCAGTGCCGGACACGCAACTGGGGTTGAGCTATGAAGAGATACAGCTGTTGCGTCAAGGACAAGCGGCACTGGGTCAAGGAACTGGAGGAGGCGGTTCGAATTCGTCACGGGCAGCAAGTCGCGCGTCAAGCCAAGGACTGCTGCTGCTGGACAGCACCTCATTAGCAGCTCTAGGACGATACTTTGACCGGGTCATGAACCAGATCGAACAACAGATCATCTACCTCAGTGAACAAAGCCAGATGTTTACCATGGCCCAATTTGATCGAGCTGGCAATCTAATCGAGGGTGCCGACGCCGAGATCCAGCGGTATCACGAGCTTCTCCGGCAACTCGACGAGTTGGAGCTCGACTTCGACCGAATAAGGCATATCAAAGAGATTGTACGAGGGTACAGATCACGAGTTGAAGAGATGGAGCGTGAATTGGAACGGAGTGGCTCATCTTCCCGGCATAGAGAAGGACACCATTCTCACCGGCATGGCCACTCGCATAGTCACCGGCATGGGCACGAGAGTTCTCGTCGACACCGACACTGAACGATTTATATCCGCACAACAAGACAAAAGCGCCCCGGAGGAGTCCTTCCTAGGTTCGAAAAACACCACTAAAAGCGTATACAAACAAATGTTGAAGGAAGGCAGCAGAGAGTGTCTCAAAATTGTGGTGGAGTAGAATACATCGGTCACACGACCGCGACAGGATCTCACAAGGCTCAAGGGTTGGCTCGAAAACGTTCTACCCCGGCGGGAACATACAGCACCACGGGACTGAATTTACGAGTCATGACGAAGAGCAGCTCTCTTTTATCTGGTCGTGCGAACTAGCGACCATTGGCGGTCCTAAGACGGAGAGCCTCGCGGCTGGACAAGATGGAAAAGCCTCACGGCTCGGTGGTCTTATTTCAAGGCGTTTGATTTCTTCGATTTACCTCTTGTTAAAACAGCGGGGATTGCTTCGGTGCTTCACGACTGCCTGTTTGGCTGCCATCGGGAGGCGTTGCGCAATCTTCTCGAGCTCAAAATACCCATCTTTTCTACTGTATACGGAAAACCCAAAGCTACGCCTCACGGCATTGTACTGATCTAGGTACATGGATCTTGTTGGCATATTCGATTTGTTTCTCGAGGTTACGATTTATGTCTCTTTTTATTTTTTTAGTTTATGAATTCTTGGCCTGATCACGACAGATATTTACTTCATCCACCTACGGGACGACCATCGTCGTTTGCCAATTTCAAATGTACCAAAAAGTATAGTAATTTCCGCTACGAGCTCATAATACGGATAACTTTCACCCAAAAGGCACTTTCAACGGCACAGACAGATTGGGCGCTTAGCCAGGGGCCAGGCACAGTCTTGTTTCAAAAGCACCCGGAAATGAGGCAACTCTCGATCGCAATTGCGAACGACTTTGGGCACACATGTTGGGCGACGAGCGCGCATTATTCGCCCGTCCGTAAGAGCCCAGTCTCCCAGTGTACTTGGCGCTTTTCATTCCTCTTGTCTCTTTCCCCGCTGGAGCCGTTCCAACCTTGGATATCTTCGCGAGACCATTCGTCATACTGGGAGTATGTTACCCTAGAGCCCCGCCCCTTGATGCTTTTCCGCTTTGTCGGCGACGTCCCCGTCTCCGTGGCATAGGTACAACGTCAGGTGAGGGATAGAGGAAGGTGGAAAGGAGGGAAGCGCGAGGGAGTTGGCACACGGGGTGGTGCGCTCTACGCTAAGTGGTGCTACCTATCTTCCAGTTAGTATACCATGTCCCCAATGCCCTCAATCGTTGAGAGGCAGAAAGAGATTGATTTACCCATGGTAAAAAAATAAAAACAATAAATAAAAGATGATTGTACTACATATAGCAGTAGATGTATACCAAAATAATACGCACTCCCTTGACTTAATTCTTCAGCCGCTTTAGTTCACGCCGCAAACGAAACCACTATGAGAGCTGGCGCATGAAGATACGCCTTTGCAGATTTTTGACGACATCGACTGCCACCCCCTCCCATTCGTAGGTGATTCCTATATTGGCTGGGCAGGTTCATGGCGGAACTTTATGACTCGTAAAGTCTCAGACGCCATCGAAACGTGGCTGTATACACGTTGCGGTGCAAGTTAGCAAGCTCGACAACGAAAAGCCGACGACATGTGACGACGAGCGTTTCCGCGCCCAATACTGTCGACGCCGTATTTGGGTTTCTTCTTAGTTCTGTGTTAGATTGCCTGTCTTGGTGGTCGTTATCTTGCTGGATACAAGTAGATTGAGGCAGGTCGATGATGGAGGCACTCATGTCGAATCCCACGATCACGAGAAATTTCTTCTCTCACCTGAGCGCCTCGCACTACTTAGCTGTCTAGTTTCCGAATGATAATCAGCCTTGCGTGACTTTTGTCTTCTGGTCTTAATTTCAAGATATGGATTGGCTGGCGTGGTCAAGAACACGGCTCTGGAACAACACCAGAAGGGATCAAGGTTTTTCGGCGTGTTTCGATATCTTCACATTATTTGTGACCATACTGGAACCTTCATGCTTCTATAGTGAGTACTCTTCATTGAAGATATACTTGAAGGTCACGCTCGCCGCTCTCAAGCCCCCCGGCTATCCCAAAGACTCCGAAACCGTGATGCCTGAACCAACAACTCCTTCGGCTTGCCAACCTCCACCACCCGACCCTCATGCATCACGACAACCACATCATACCCAACTATAGCCTCCAACCGATGCGCAACCTCAACTACAGTAACACCCGCCTCCCCAAACACCTCATCCAAAACCTTCCTAACTTCCTCATCAGTAGCATGGTCAACATTACTCGTCGCCTCATCAAGCAAAACAATACCCCCCGACCGCTTCCTCAACACCGCTCTGGCAAGGCAAAACAGCTGCTTCTGTCCCGCACTCAGCCCCGTTGCGGACATTTCCGTGTCTAGACCGCCGCCGGCTCGCGCTTCAATGGGCTCCCATACCTTCATCTCGCGCAAGGCGGAGATTAGGTCGACGTCGGGCGTGTGACCTCCGGGGTCGAGGTTCTCGCGGACGGTGCCCGGTAGTAGGACTGGATCCTGTGGGAGTGTGGTGAGGGATGTGCGGATGGCGGAGCGGGGGAGGGCTAGGAGGGAATGAGAGGCGATTCTGAGGTCTCCTTTGCCTCCTCCTTCTCCTTCTTCGGACTTGAGGTCGAGAAGACGGAGGAGTGTGAGGAGGAGGGAGGATTTGCCGGAGCCAGAGCGTCCGCAGATGCCAATCTTTTGGCCTGGTTCTATCGTCAAGGATACATTTCTCAAGACGGGCTCAGTTTCGTTACTGGTTCGGATATTAGCCCACGTCAAGCTTCAGCATCAGGAACCACAACGCGAAACTTGCCTATACGCAGCCGTCACGTTCTCAATCTCAATCTTCCCACTTCCAGGCCATGCCGGCGGCATCTCGTTCGTCTCCCCATCGCGGTCTTCGCGCGGGGTATACCGCACAAAATACTTCAACCTCGCAATTGCACCAAGACTCGTCTCCAACATGGTCCACATTTCGATGAAATCACCCAGCGTCTGATTAAAGTTGATGATATTCACCATGGCGAGACCAATGGCGCCCATGGTCGTAGCATTCGTGAAATACAGCGCAAACGCCACGAGAACGACAGCCATACCCGCAATGAAAAGGTCCAGCACGACGTTGAGCCAGCGCTGAACGCAGAAGAAGAGGTAATACGGCCGCTGCGAGGCGTCGAGCAGCGCGTGGTTCTCGCGGAGCATGGCCGGCGACCAGGCAAAAGCGCGGATGGTGGGTAGTCCCGCCAGGACCTCGGAGAAGTGGGTGAAGAGCGGGGACTTGGCTTCGAGGTCGATGTGGCGGAGCTGGCGGGAGGTGCGGAGGTAGTACTTTTGTAAGAGGTAGAGGGCGAGGAAGGACGGGGGGATGAGGGCGGCGATGTAGGAGCTTCCTGTGGCGATGATGGCGGTCTCGGCGAGGACGGTGAGGAAGCTGTGGATTGTGGCCCAGGCGGAGATGGGGAGGCGGTGGTCTATGAGGGCCATGTCTTGGCTGAAGCGGTTGAGGGTGACGCCGCTGTCTGTTGTTGTGAAGAAGTAGAGGGGTGCGCTTGGGAGGGTGTTAGTGTTGATGGGAGACTAGGTGAGGCAGGCTGGTCAGGAGGGCTGGGATGGTCTTACGCGAGAACTGCTTTGAGAAGGGTTTGGTGGAGGTGATTCGCGGATCGGGGGATGGCGAGCAGCATCCAGAAACTTGAATAGTTAGTAAGATGAAATAGCTGAGCGAGGTGGATGCCGGAAAGCTCACCCTAGTGCTACGCCATTGAGGACGATGCAGAGGAGACCAAACATGACGTAGATTCCGAAATGCATTGCCGGCCGGTCGTTCGTGCCGTGTTCAGTCCAGATTCGTAACCAAATTTCTACAGTCCCGGTTAGCATTGCAACTATTCCCTACAAGACCGAGATTGAACAAGAAAGGATACTAACGAGGCATCTTTGTGAAAGCAACAAACATGACGTTGAGGATGAGAAACACAACCAAGATGGGCCACCCAATGGAGTTGAAGTACATCCGGTAGCACTCAGTGTCGCCCGTCTGCCTCGTCAACTCGGCCTCCGTGGCTCCGGGAGCGACGACGACAAGCCGATCTACTCTAGTGGGTTTTGAGTCTTTGGCGAGACTCTCAGCCGATTCGACGTCCTCGTCGGGGCTTCTTCCTTCGGTCTCTTCCTCAACGAGATGGCCCCATGCGGACTGCGGGATAGAGTCGAAAGAAATCTGGTTATGGAGGATAGTACCATCTTGAATCATGGTGATGCAGTCGGCCGAGCGGAGGAAGTTGACTACGTGCTCGTCAGTCATACATCTTCGCCACTGGTCTATTAAGTGGTAGACTAGACTTACCGTGATTGGTTGCGAGAAATACCGTCATGCCCGCTTGATGTAGAAGCCCATCCGGACCTAGAAGACGCCGGAAAACAGCCTTACATGTTGAATTATCAAGGCCACTGAAGACGTCGTCAAGGAGAAGTAATTTCTTGCGTGAGTAGACTGCGCGAGCCAGAGCCTGTTACGTTTCGGGTGAGCCAACCAGTACGAACACATTGATACCGCTCATGTCAGTAAGTAGGTAGTCAGGACTCACCACTCTCTGCTTCTGGCCACCACTGAGTGCTACACCACCGGTGCCGACAATGGTATCCTCGGCCTCAATAAACAGCGCAATGTCTTCATCGAGCGCGCAGGCTCGCACGACAGCGGAGAACCAGGCTTGATCGAAAGGTGACTGGCCTATGATGTTGTCCTTGATGGAAACGTTACGTAGCCAGGCGGACTGATCGCAAAAGGCGACGGACGAGGTGTGTATCGTGATGCTGCCGGACGAGATGCCGGTTTCTCCTAGCATGGCTTTCAGTAGCAACGATTTACCGCAGCCTACGCGTCCGACGAGCATTGAAATGGTAGCTTGTCGGAGGGCAAGGGACACATTCTTCAACATCTCGGTGCCGTCTTTCAGGACCAGTGTTGCATCACTTATGGTGACCACGGGCTTGTTGGTATCGCCTGAGGTAACGGAGGAAGTTCTAATCGTTTCCCTCAAAGAACAAAGCTCAATTTCGGTGTTCTTCGTCGACTCGGCCGCCCGTGGAGTCAGGGGCTGCAAATCGGAGCTGTGGATACTCGGCAGCGGGCGGTTAGACTCCAAAGAGGCCTTGGAAGAGCCAGTGATGATCTGCCGCTGGTCGATAATTTCATCCAAGAGAAGAAACTCTTGGATGCGCATGAAGCAGCCGAAGGCTCCCATGAGCTGCATGATGGACGAGATGAGCTTGATGAGGGGTTGCGAGACCAGCACGATGATGGACAGAGCTGTGAACGCTTCGGCGATGGTGAGGCCTTGCTCCGCTCTTGTCCAGAAGACGGCGGCGGCGATGATGACGATTGGGGTGAATTGCTGGGCGATGCCGGCTGAAAGGAGACGCTTGTCTTAGTATGTTCCCCTTCATCGAGCGATGTTCCATGGTAGAGGGAGGGGGATATACCGATTACACTCAGGATGGTGACGAGGATTCTGAACTTGGTGGAGAGCTTCAGCTCCGAGACGCGCAGCTTCTGGATGATGTTGGAGAAGTGGTCTGTTAGACCCATCATTTTGATGCCCTTGATCTGCGTGAGCATGGACGATGTGATGGAGACGCGCTTCTGTACGCCTTGGTTCCATGCGACGCGCGCCGGTGCCATGCGCGTGGAGAGCTTTGTTGTAAGAGCAGTACAGACTGACACGGTGATTAGTACGTCTAAGACGTCTTCGCAAGAAACAGAATAAGGAGTTAGAAAGTGAAAATACGACATAACTTACCTAGGCCTGGGATGAGCAGGAGAAAACAAGGAGGGCCGACCTGTCGGTACAGCAGATACACCCCTACCGGGAGTTCAACAGCCGCAGCCCAGACGTCGTGGATAAACGTCATGGACACGGCAATATTTTCAATGTCGACGCTCATAAGCGTCACGGGCGCTGAGTCTTTAATCACCGAAGCGTCGAGGCTGAGCGTCTTTTTAAAGATGAGGGAGACGAGGCCGCCGCGGAAGAGCGTCACGAGCTGGAATGTCATGTGCTGGTACCAGCATCTTGAGACCTGGAAAGTGCATTTGTTAGCTGAGCGCCGAGATGGCAGTGTTTTATGAGCGGGGGACTCACAGCGATTCCACAATTTATCAACGCCGTTGCGCCGACAAGACCGCCGGCAATGTTCTTCGAACTCTCCGTTCGGGGACTCCCAACAAAGTTTACAATCTGATTGACGAGAAATGGCTGGGAAAAGATGAAGCCCGCGAAGAGGATGCGAGGGAGGACTGCTGCAAGAAAGGTGGTCCTGTATGCCCAGAACACACTTCTGATGAGACTCCATTTACTGTTTTTCTCGGCTATCTTGTTGTCAGTTTGGTTTGCTTGCCCCCTTTTCCTCCTTCATGTACCGCGAAGAGACAGGTCAGACTCACCCTTGGACCATACTCGGTCGAGTGTGTCAAGCAAAACTGCCGAGTCAAACTTGGGATCAATTGGCCCCAGATCCTCCAGCCCGATGAGCAGCCTGAAGCCCTGGAAGAACAGACCATTCAACCACCAGAACAGGCTTCGGCTCACGACGCCGGTGGTGCACTCCACCGCAACATATTTCTCGCTATCCGGCAGGTACGCGCGCTTCGGCGTCTCTTCCAACACGAGCATGACGGCCTTGATAGCGAGCGAGGCCGCGAAGACGCCGGCGATGGGGGTAAGACCGTCTCGGATCCATAGTGTCCTGGCATGTGCGGTGTCGAGAATGATGGCCAGGACGAGGTAACCGCCGAGGAGCAGGGACGGCCTGACGGAGCGCTTGTGTTCTGTGTACGAGAGGGCGCCGATTACGATGGCTTCGATGAGGCCGAGGGCGCTTTCTGCTGTCGAGGCTTTTGTGTTGGGGGTGGTTGGGAGAGACCATAGTGTAATGAGGGCTATTTGAAGGCATAGAAACGTGGTTACGGCTGACTGAGATATCGTCAGGCTTCTTCCTTCACCTATCCAAGCGTCAAGAATCAGTTGAACATACCAGCTTCAGCCACAGGAGTTTTCCTGAGTCAACGCGGATATTATTGCGTAAGAGCGAGGTGATCCTGATCGGGACTAGGAGGATAAAGAGAGCGGATGGCAGGATGGAGAGGATGCTCTGTTCGAATAAGACGGTGAAATCAAAGTAGCCACGCACCTGCGGGCCGAAATAGTCGTCGCTAACGCTCATTGCGAGGAGTCGTTCATGTCAGTGCAATCGAGTCTAAGTCGTTTACTGAGAGATGAAGTCGCTCGTTGACAGAACCCAAAGCTAACAAGCCTAGAACACAAGCTCATCACGAGCTTTACCAGAGAGGCTGTGGTGTTTCTTATATCATTGCTGAGCCGACTTCCGAGGATGGCACCCCTAAAGGCAACGAGATTGTGTACCCAGCTGCCTGTTTGGGGTCGAAGCCTATGCTGACTGTCTGGACAAGGGGAGGGAGTGTTGCGCGTTGGGAGTTCGAGACAACATGGAGTATCCAATCATCGCCCGCGGACTTGTACGAAGGATTTCGTGCTTGCGCAAGCCGTATTCGCCCCGATCGGGAATATGGGTCTTATCGGTGCCAGTTCGCTCGTGTAACCATTTCCAGGCCGTTGATCTGACCCTGTCCCTGTCTAGTACACCGATACAGAAGATGATGCGACGAATAAGTTTCCCGTTGTATCTGTGTAATTCGGTGCTTATATGTACCTGATGATATGCGTCGCGGTTCGGTCTGATATCGCCGCATAGGTAGGTGTCTCAACCAACCGGCCAAGATACGATGTTTACTTGGTGCTTTTCTCAAAATCTAGGATACGTTGTTTCTAGGGCTCAAATACACGACCGCTGACCGTGTCTGGATGTAATACGTTGATGGTCCATAACGGAAGTTCTCTCAAACTCGGTCCGCTCGAATACACGCGACCAAGCATCTTCTCACGATACCATAGCCCGGCAAACATACTCTCCGGATCAAACTCATTCCTCACATCACGCCACGCCACGTCTTCAGATCCTGACAGAACACTCTTCTCGAAAATAAATCTTGGCTCAGTGCGGTCTGCGGCCCATCTCCCTCCGTCAACCGCCTAAGCGTCCTTGTCCCAGTCGTTTGGCATCCTGGCATCCGCCTCAATGGTTGGCGTTAACAGCAGTGTGAAGCCGGGCAAGGGGCGAAACGTGTGACTTGCGTACTAAAGCCCAAAGCTCCCAGAGATAGGACCGCAGCGCGGGTCGAATAAGGCGTAGAGGCGGATGCCGTTCTGAATAACCGGCAGGCCTGTTGATTCATCAAGCGAGAGCACGGGATCGTAATTATCAAGGTGTGTGCAGGTGACGCGGGGAGGGCGAGTGGCCTGAATCCTCACCTCATCTATTCTTTTGAGAATACGCCACGGCCGAACCTTCCTCACATTGCCACGAGGAAGCCCTTATACCCTCCCTCAAGTCCATTCCTGTCACCAACGGCAGCAGGCGCCTCACAGGCCTGTGAGGTCAGGTCAAACTGCCGTTTGGCGGGATGGTCACGGGCGAGCCTCCTCAACTGGCTTAGCCTACGATAGGCTTCAGGTTCGAATCCCAGCATGTGCACCCAGAGATGTAGCCCCCGTTCGCCACCGGGGGGGTGAACTCTTTTGTTGTTTCATTTTAGTGATTAGAAGTGATTAAGTAATCTGTGTTTAGGTAGTTGAGCATAAGATGAGAATTATCTAGAAGATTTTCGAGGGCCTTGGAGTGTATCGAGGGGAACGCAGCGGCGGTCCGTTGGTCATGGCTTGTTTATTAATGGGCATTAGAGAACTGTGAAGGTACTTGCCTACTCTCAGGCTGATGATACAAGAGGAGCACACCATCTTGAGAGATAACATGATTGAGCGTCCAAGAACCCCGTTTCCTGCTAGGAAACATGATCTCGAAGCTTGAGATAACAGAGAGAGATGACGCTGTGCTTGGACCGTACCCGACATGCTGAAATACCACTCACCTCGACCACGAAGAATTGCCCTCAGATTAGCTCTCTCATGTTCTCACGGACAACGGCCGACGGATGTAACCCTCGTGCTGTCTGCAACTTTGGCTTATTTGGACTATGGTCATCACCGGGCAATTCTATATCGTGTTGCTGCGTAGGCCGCTAGGCTGGCAGTTCTCGAAATCTGCACCCAACGTTAGCTCTTCGTCTCTCTAGTATGAAGCTGTCGAGGATGTTGTCAACGTACCGGCCAGCTCCGATTGAAAACTATCTTTTGTCCTGTCATGAGCAAGAACTCTCCAAGGCAAATACGGCAAGCACCCCCAAAAAGAGTGCCTACTGTGACCCACAGAGAGTAAATACTTCTAGGTGTTGTGACTTGTCGTCATTGCGGCACGGGATTTCGAGGAACTGGTGCCAGCTGTTGCAGCAAAAGCAGCGATAACATTCATGCTGGGGAATCCAGATGGGTGCCTGCTCAGATCTCTGTTCTTTGGTGCTGGTCTTGCCATCGAGAGGAGGGTTCCGTTACGGAACCGCAGAACCGATGGTCCCGTTACCGTTTGTGAAAGCTTTCATCAATGCAGGCAGAGTGGGGGAAGGGAGAAAGGAATATTGGGTACGAAGAAAATGGCAAATAATACTGGTAAAGCATGGTAAGAACAAGCTGAGAGTCAACTTGACATTCCGCGAGAAAGGTATAGAAAGAGGGAAGGTGGGAAAATCCCATACGCGCTCCTGGGAGAGGATCTTGCCAGATCTCACTCGAGAAGCTGGGAACGTAGCTGGTTTGAGTCAGAGCAAGGACTACGAGAAAAGAATATTCCAATAACTTCAAGGGTTTGTTAAAGCTGAGGTTGGAGAGTGGCTGCTGGGATGAGGTCAGTCAAGATCGATTCAGTGTTCTACACGAGATAGCTCACCTGTTCAAGAAAATGAACTTTGACAGCAGAGATACCGAAGCCAACAGGCCTTGATGGTGATTGAACTCTGAAATGCCGTGTCCGTCAGCTTTCCGTTAACGGTGGCAGAGTTGGCAGTCGGGAAACCTTTTTGGTTGAAGGTGGAAGAAACAAGTCGCGACCGAAGTGCAGTCAGGCGCGCCACGCGACGACGGGACGGGAGCTTGGGCGCCCTCCACTTTAATCTCGCACCGCCACACCTTGATTGCACTACCAGCCACAACTCGACGTGCTTCTTGATGTAGCCTTGATAGTCAACTCATTCAAAGACAATATAAGCAATCATGGAGTGCTGCAACATGGACCCAGTAACCAAGCCTTGTCTACATCCCGTGCATGTTGGTGATTGATGGGACTTGAGATATTACTGTACGAGAGAAGGTATTGAATGTGCAAGTGGTATCATTGACATATAGATTGTCGAAACAATGTTGTTGTACATAACTCCCTGAACCCTCTGCTCCCATTCGCAGCACCATTCTCCATCAAACAGCACCTCCTACACCTGAAGCAACGAAGCCAACCCAGCAACAGGCGGCTCAACCTGCACCAACAACTCCCTAGTCCGCCGTATCCTCTCCTTGACGACCTTCTCCTCTGCCGCCCACCTGCTCTCCTCCGTCTTGGTCTCCGTCCAGAATCCAAACGCCGATTTCGTCGGCTCAGCCCGGTTCTTGACCTCCTCTTCGCGAGCCAAGCTGGCCACCATGGCAGACCAGTTCTGCAGTCCCGTGCCCAGACACTCGCGGCACGTCTTGCGGGCCTCCTTGTCGCCGCCGATCGGACCGAGCTTACGCAGCTGCTCCTCGGCGAGGTCGACGGCATCGCGCGTCCACGCGAGGCCCTCGTCACGGTTGGCGGCCTGCTTCTTGGAAGAGGAAGAGTCCTTTGCGGCTGCGGCGGCCGCGTAGATGATTTCGCCAATGTAGAGGTTCAGCCCGGCCTCTTCGCAGAGTTCTTTCGAGTGGCGCCAGGGCGCGCGGGTGCCGTCGTCTGGCGGGGCAGGGTAAGTAGGCGCCTGCGCGAGGTTCCATATCCTCTGCCAGAGCGTCGAGGGCGTCTCTGTGGGACGTTCTTGGCCCGGGAGAGGGACTACGGGCAGGGCACGGCGGGCACGGAGGACGGAGATGAAGATGGGGAGGGCGGCGTTGACGTCGTCGTTGCGGGCCTTGTGGAGGGCGATGGAGGTGAGAACGGTCAGCACGTTCTCGGACGGCTGCGTCGGCTTCTTGTCGTTGATGGTGTAGGTGCGGGGGTCGACGAGGGGAGGGTCGCTCGGGGCGCTCGCCGTCGCTAGGGTGAGCGCCCACTGGTACATGCGTTCGGCGGCGTCGGGCATGTTTTTGTAGTCGAGGAAGGAGCCGTACGCGAGGGCGGCGTCCATCTTTTGGCGGTCGGTGAAGCCCTTTGTGGTGAGGATGCGGAGGTAGTGGTTCTCGGCGGGCTCGTAGGCGACCTCGCAGTCCTCCTCCCGGGGCGCGCTCTCGGCGCCGGCGGGGATGGGTTTCGGGTGTGGGTTGGAAGGGCCCAGGACGACGTCGGCGGGGAAGATGATATTCCTCGTCTTGTCCTTGACCCAGCCGTCGAGCTGCTCCGCCGCCTGCGCCATAAGCATCAGAACCTCGTAGTAGCCCCGCCTCCAGTTCTCGCTCTTGGCTGAGACGTCCTTGCCCGCGTTGCCGATGCCGTCGATGGATAGAGGTTCGTCGAGCAGCTCCCTGATTGCGGCACCGTCGATATCGGGGTTCTCCAGCCTAGCCAGCGCGCGCCTGCAGGTCACGATGACCTCGACCCAGTTCACGCTGTTGCCGGTCGAGTCCCGGGCGGCGTTCTTGGCCCCGCGGACGCCCATGCGCGTCAGGTAGGACCACTCATGCGGCGTGGGGTGCTCCTTTTCCAAGCCTTCCTGGTTTAGCAAGAAGATGATGCCGAGGATGCAGAGGGCGCCACCCCAGATGGAGACATTGTAGCGGAGGAAGAGGCGGCCCTCATAGCGCAGGAAGCGCTTCTTTTCCGTGGTGAAGTAGCGGGCTCGCGGCGAGGTGACGACGGGAATCGAGAGGAAGGGCAGCTGTGGCCTGCTGCGGGAGGTGAGGGATGTGTTGCTCGTGAAGGGTCGGGTGGTCTGGAGCCGGAAGAGCCTCTGGAGGAGGATTCTGCGGAGGGCTAGGCGCTGGCGCATCGTGGCTGCGGGCCGGGGAAACTTCAGATCGGGAGGATTGTTGTGCTCATGCGGTTGTGAGGGTCATCGATTTTGGCAGGTGTCCGTCGTCGGTGGCTGTATCGAAGTTGGGTTCTTTTGCGGTGAGATTAAATATTCGGCAAGCTCAGAGCTTGAATGACCAGGGAGCTTTCATCCTGAGGTGGCCGATCCATCCAAGATTCGATGCCGAAGTGGGGCCACTGCTGGCCGGTGCGGTCGGTGGTGTCGGTGGGCAAATGTTCCGCTGTCAGCTGGAATTGGGGGTTCTGATTGGCCGCTCACCTGGAGCAACTTTTCTCTGTGATCGGAGATGGCGCAAGTCCAATTTTGCTGCTTAGACCCATCGCCGGTGACTTTGAGAGGGTCCTTGTGAAGCGCGTGTAAGACTGGCTTGATAGAAAGTCACTCAAGGCACTCACCCTCTTTGTTGACTTTACAATTGAGTAACCTCGTCATCTCGCATGATGAGTGTGCGAGATTGAGAATGTCTTCCTTTTTCTCTAAAGCGGCGTCAAGTCCGCACGCTCAACTGGCCGCTACTGCCTTCTTGTCAGGCGCCACGGTAGCATGTCTCATCCTCGGCTACCAAGCATTCGAAAGAAAAGAACGAATCCAAGATCTCAAAAAGTCCATCCCTCCTTCTGCTGAAGAAGCTGCCAAGGTTCATACATTTCATCTATACCAATTCACAGAGACAGTAAAAAAGACTAATCACACCTCACAGCTCACTCGGTATGGCGCCGCATCGCCCCCAGTAGACAAGGAGGATGCCCGCAACCAAGCCCTCGCGAGACGAGCCCAGGCCGGCGACTTTGACGAGGAACTCATCCTCGAGCAACTCGCCCGCAATAGGGTCTTCCTCAAAGACGACGGCCTGCAAAAGCTCCGCAACGCCTTCGTCATCGTCGTCGGCTGCGGCGGCGTAGGCTCCCACTGCACCGCCGCTCTCGCCCGCTCCGGCGTCTCCAAGATCCGTCTCATCGACTTCGACCAGGTCACCCTCAGCTCCCTCAACCGACACGCCGTCGCCACACTGGCGGACGTTGGTATCCCCAAAGTCCAATGCCTCTACCGCCGCCTCATCGCCATCGCCCCCTGGGCCAAGTACGAGCTCAAGAACCAAAAGTTTGAAAAGATTGCCGCCGACGCGCTGCTTGCGCCCTGGGCTGAGAACGGACAGAAGCCGGACTACGTCGTTGACGCGATTGATAACATTGACACCAAGGTTGCTCTGCTCAAGTACTGTTACGATCACGGCATCCCCGTCATCTCTTCTATGGGTGCCGGGGCCAAGGGCGACCCTACGCGCGTGAATGTCGGCGATATCGGGGCCAGCACTGACGACGGGCTCTCCAGAGCCACTCGCAGGAAGCTGAAGCTGCAGGGCGTGACGGGCGGGATTCCTGTTGTGTACTCTACTGAAGTCGCCGGCGAGGGCAAGGCCGCCCTCCTGCCGCTTGACGAAGAAGAGTTCAAGAAGGGCCAGGTCGGCGATCTCAGCGTTTTGCCCACTTTCAGAGTCCGAATTTTGCCCGTACTTGGAACCATGCCCGCCGTCTTTGGATACATCGCCGCCAATCACGTCATTCTCAGCATTTCAGGTAAGAATCATGAAGCGACTACATCTGTCTCATAGTGCTAACAAAGCTTCTAGGATATCCCCTCGATTACGTCCCGGCCAAGAATCGCGACAAGCTCTACACAGATATTGTCGCATTCGTCCAGGGCTCCGAGACGCGAATCGTCCACCACAGATTCGGCATCGAAGAGTCCAAGGGACTCCGTATCCCCGTCTCCCTCGGCGATGCCGCCTTTTTGACCGAGGAGCTGTGGAAAGGACGGAGTGCCGTCACCGGTCTCATCAACAGACTCGTGCTGGTGCGGTGGAGACGGCCCGAGGGCCAGACTAAGCTGCGCATCGGCGAGGGCGCCGAGGAGCAAAAGTGGTCCAACATTCGCTTCCGCGACTTGGTCTGTATGACGAGAGATGAGGCTCTCCGCCACGAGAAGGAGTACCTTAAGAAGGATGATACCAAGTTGGAGGACCTGTACGATGCGGACGTGATTGCCCGGATAGAGGCAAGATTGGAGGAGGCCGTTGAGGTTGAGAAGGATAGACTTTGAGTAAAGAGTACATTTTTAGAACCAAATCACGAATGTATGTATGAATGATATGCGCAAAACGTCCCCTATGCTATCACGCCACCCGTCGCCCATCAATCCTCCCTCAAGATCACTCCCATGTGTTGTCCTGCCTCTCATTCTCTCCAACCGCAAGCTTCTGAATACCCTCTAGGACCTCGCAGTGCTCATGGTCCTCAGGCGCCATGGCATATCCGAGACTCGGCTTCGCAAACTCGGGTATCTTCTCCCACTGCTCGTCGAATCCTCCCGCGGCCCACTCCTCCTCCGTCGGCATGCGTGGATCGACGGCGATAACCTCCGGGTGGCAATAGTCGGCGCCAGCGAGAGCGACCTCCTGGACCCAGTCGAGCATGGAGACGTGGCTAGTGATGAGCATGCACTCGACGAGGTAGGCTTCGCCTGAGCTGTAGACCGTGCAGCCGTGCTGCGTGAAGGAAGCCGTGTTCGGATTGCCGCCGGGTTGGGCCATGGGTGTGAGTGCGGGCGCTTCATCTGTGATGTACGCTCGAGCGCGGCGGGGGAGGAATTCTTTGAAGGGCTCGTTGGTGAGTTCCTCGATGTTGATCGTGCTCCCGAGTAAGGATAAGGTGTTGATGCGTTGGCCAAGAGTAGACCAGGTCTCGGGTGTGTCCAATGCTCTTGTTACGTAGTCGGCGCCGAGGCCTATGCCGATGATGTCAAGGCGAGCAGTTGGGGACAGAAGGGAAGGAATAACCTCGTTGAGAACGTACGCAATGTGGGCTCCGGGACTCTCGTTCTTCGGGATCGCATGGTACTTGGAATTATTGGCGCGGCCGTGGTGAACCATGCTCTTCCGGGGAACAGCCATGGCTGAAGTCGGGCTCAGTGGCTTATTGCCTTCAGGCCACCACCAGAGCTCGCCTGTGTTGGCGAGAAGGATTCCAGGGGGTCCATCGTCGGAGGGTGAAACTCTCTGGCGATTGATCTCCTGGACGACCGAGACCATGCTGCCCTTATTGATGCCGCCGGGGCCGTTGACGACGCGGAGTGCCAAGTTGCCGAGATCCTGGCTGGGCTCGCCGAAGACCACAACGACGCGTGAGACAGAAGCCAGGTTGGCACTGGTGAAGATGGGCATGTTGGGCGAGGTTGGCTCGGTGCCGAGAGGTAAGAAGACCTTATTCAAGCCTTCCTTTTCGAGACGGCTATGAACGATGTCGCGGATCGCTTCTGGGGGGGAGTTAGGAGCAAGGCGCAATTGAGGTAGGTAAACAGCGATGAGGAACTTGCCGTTGAAATGGAAGCGCTGACGATCATTGACTCGGCCGTTCTTGGTGAGGTAGTACTTGAAGTAGTAATTAGGTTCCTTGATGTTGCGGATCTCATCTTGATCGTTGATGAAATAGCTGCGAAAGTTAGCTCTTGTCACAGTTGTTACGGGAAGTGCCACAAACCCGAGGTCCTTCAAGTTAGATGAGAAGATAGGGTCTTTGGGAAGACCATCCCAGCGACGGCGGAACATGATGGCGGCTGGTGGGATTGAGGAAGGGAAGTCGGGCGTTGGGTTAGAGGAGGAAATATGGCTGAGTAAGGCGGTGTGTTGCCTTTTTGAAGAAATTGAAATCTGTCTTGAGATAGCGTGAGTTGGATGAGCAGGCAGGAGAGGGGTGGAAAGAGACGAGAAGGTAAGAAACGAATCAAAGGGATGTGAAAGAAAGGACTCCAGGCTCAACGACAGAAACCAAATCCAAGGTCTCCAGTAGAAAATTGAGAAGGCAATCGCACTCGCAAGAGTTCCTGCCTTTGCACGGCATCCAAGATACATCTTCCCCCGTTAATCATACCTGATTCGCACATGAATTTGAGATGTGTTGTACATTGTTTGCCAGTATTTGTATCTGTACATATGCTTCTTGAGGTGCCAATATGCAGCCAAACGCCAAACCCCTAATCGTCTATGGGCAAGCTCCCGAGCGTAGCATGCCATTTAAAAGGCACACAAGTCCCTTTCAATGTATCTTACAACGGCCTTCCTCTTTTGTATATCATCATCCGCCGTCTCCCCCGTTTACCAACTGGCCTTTTTGACACCGGGAATGTTACCCTCGTACGCTTGCATACGGAAGTTGAACTGTGATATCTTGTCAGCTTGCGCGATTCAACCCCGGATTTGACGGAGAGCAAGCGTTTCTGACATACCCTCGTCATCTTAAAGTCGCGGAAGACACCCCTAGCCTTGCCACCCAAAATGCATCGGTTCTTGATCTGCGTCGGCCGGGTGTAGCAGTGCATCTGACCCAGCTGCAGCTGCGCCTCGGCGCGCACACGGCCGGGGAGCGTCGTGTTCTGGATAATGTATCGGAGAGCTTGTCTAATCCACGGTGTTCGCGTCAGTTCCAGCTCGATTGCGTCGTTGGCTTTGGGGGTGCGAGAGTTGCTAACCTCTCGGGCTCGTTTTGCATAAAGACCTGACGCTTGGTGTGGTCGCGAATCGTCCGGATGTTGACGAAACATCCCAGATCAAGCTTCTTTGCGCGGAACATCGACATTTTGGCGGCGGTTGTGACGTAGTGAACAGGAAGACGCTGGTCGTGCAATCGCAAAGGTTGAGCTTTCGAAGCTCGAATTGAAGTTCGCAATGGGTCACGTGGAGTCCTTATCTTATCTCTCACCACGCTTCACCGACCACATCAAGGTTCTTGGAGGTCACCCTGCTAGGACCTCACCCCCAGCGATGTTGCAGATGATGGCAAGTGCTTTGAAAGGCAAATACTTGGATCAGCATAGACTTCATCTGAGCTCACAAAAATAGCATTTTTGGTATTCGATTAGCCGTAACCCCTCCAGAAACGCCAGCCGTCATCTCAGGCTATGACTGAACCCCAAACTTTGCAATATGATACAGCAGCGACACAACCTCTCGAAAAACACTAATGACCTTCCAAAAGATCAATGCAGTTCTCATCGTAACCGAAAAGGCAGCGCGCGGGTTGGCTGCTATAATTGGTCCAAGAGCTTCTGCCGCCGCCTGTTGATCAACTCTTCCTGCACCTCTTCCAGCGTCGGTAGCTCCCAGCCCTTTCCATCGCCTATGTCGCCCGGCAAAGCTTCCCAGTCAGGCGGTAGTTGCTGCTTCCCAGTCTTCGCCATGTGCGCGAGGGCCTCTTCCTCCTTGGCGAGCTCATACGCTAGCAACTCCGGATCCTCCTCATCTGGCGCGTAGCCGTAGTACGCCGCATCGACCTGTTTTCGCAAGTCGTCCCTCGTCTCCAGAGGTTTATCGTTCGTGGCCTTTGCCTTGGCTGCGTCGAAAAGCTCTTTGACTCCCGGCAGGTCTCGCGCGCGACCAAAATATCGATAGCCTTTGCCGCCTCCTGGTATCTCTCGTCCCTCTTCGTCGTATATCTTGCCGCCTCCACGCATGTAATTGGGTCCGCCGAGATTCCGTATTTGCACCTCCCACATGTACTTTTCCCTCATGAGCTTATTGATTTCGTCGTTGAGGTCGCGAATCTGGTAATCGCTGAGGGCGGTGTCTTGAATCTTGGAGACCTTGCGCGAGATCTCCTTCAACACTTGGCCACGCCACTTCTCGCATGATGGTATCGAGTCGACTTCGGTGATCACTCTTGGTCGTCTTGTCCGGCCAATGTCGATAATGCCTAGGTCCGCTGCCTGCGCTTCGCGAAAGCGAAACAGCATGGACTGCGCCTTTTCCGAGTTTCGCGCCTACACTTATTAATATTTCACATCAGATATCGAGGGGAGATTCAAGTACCATTATGAGAGCTTCGGCAACGGGCGAGGGCGCTGGACTTCTTACGAGTGTGGTTTGGTCTGGCTCTGGTGATGAAAGTCGCAAGGCAGGGCGTCGCCGTCTTTCAAGCTTTCGGTCGTCAATGTTGCGCGCCTGGCACGGGCCTTCCCCCACATCCAATCAGCCACGCCTCCAATGGAAATATGTGGCGTCCGCTGTGGACGAGGTACGCTCTGCTTTGTACACTAATCGTACAGCACTGCTCCCACCACTGCTAACCACCACCAAGTGACGTGCGAGCTTCACACACTTTTGGAGCTGTTCCAACTCCACGACAAGCTCAACACACCACCCCATCACCATGCGCCTTACGACGCTGCTTCTCGCAGCTACGTCGCTCGTCGGCGCGGTGTTCGTCGACGAGGTCGGCGACATCGATTATCACCACGAGCTCATCGGCGTCCCCCAAGTCGAGACTACCCTCTTCCACAAGCCTCGGCGCGACGATAAGGCTTCACTACTCTACACTCTCAGCGATGTTGGCGTCCTCGGAGCCGTCAACCCTAGCAACGGCGGTGTCGTCTGGCGCCAATTCTTGACGGGTAACATTACAAATGGAGGTGGACACTTGCGAGCGGCCGAGGACGAGGATTGGGTTGTGTCTGCGTACGGCAGCTCAGTGCATGCCTGGAACGCCTTGTCTGGCAGGAACGCATGGTGGATCGACTTCGTGGGCACAATCAAGGATCTGGAAGTCATGGAGATGACGGAAAACGGGCGCAAGGATGTCCTGGCGCTTTTCGAAGAGGAGGATGGCTCTACCGTTCTTAGAAGGCTCAATGGTGCTGACGGGACTGTGGTATGGGAGAACAAGGATGCGTCCAAGACCATCCCGCTGCAGGTTTCCAATAACATCGAGAAGATCTTCGTTGTCAGCCTTTACGGAAACGACGGTATGTGGGCCGTGAGAGTTTCCGTCCACGACACCCTCACTGGAAAGCGCATCGACGACATCAGCCTCGGCAGCAAAGGCGACGTTACGGATAAGAGGGATGTCATGTTCGTTGGCGCCAACTCCGCGTCCCCCATCGTCGCCTGGCTCGACAGCGATCATACAAAACTCAAGGTCAACGTTCTGGGCACAAAGTCGAAGCAGGAGTTTGCTCTCCCGTTCCCCAGGACCCTTGATGTAGCTATCCATGCTCCGCATCACCTGAACGCAGAGCCGCATTTCTTGGTCCACAGCAGATCCTCCGATAGCCACAAGGGCGAGGTCTACCACGTCAACATCAAGAACAATGCCGTCACCAAGCACCACGAGCTTCCTGTGCTTCCTGGACTAGGCGCTTTCTCGACTAGCTCGGAGGGTGCCAATGTCTGGTTCACACGCATCACCGAGGAGGAGGTTATCCTTACTTCGTCAAACTCGCATGCCATCCTCGGAAAATGGGCCTTCAAGGAAGGAAACGAGAGATTTGCGTCTCTTCACGCCGTATCTGAGGTTATCAAGAAGGCTGCCGACAACTTTGCTGTCCGCTGCGCCGCTGTGACTACGCTGGATGACTGGGTTCTGGTCCGCAACGGTGAAGAGGCCTGGGTTCGCCCCGAAGGTCTCACTGGAGGTGTCGCTGCGGCCTTCGCAGAGATTCCCGAAAGCGAGGACCTCGCCAAAACCCTCGAAGCTGAGGCACACGACAACGTCCTCTCTGCCTACATCCACCGTGTCCAACGTCACTTTGACGATCTCGCCTACCTGCCCGACTACCTTGCCTCCATCCCACAGCGCCTTGTTAGCAGCATCACTGGAGCTGAACTTGCGGCTAAGACTGAAGGTCTTTCTCGTGATGCCTTTGGCTTCAACAAGATCGTGATTTTGGTCACCAGACGCGGCAAGCTTTTTGGCATTGATATTGGCAAGCATGGCAAAGTTATCTGGAAGCTTCACGCTGTCGATATCGCCCCCTGGAACACCTGGGATATCAAGGGCATCTTTGTTGAGGATGCCAAGTCGACTGTCACTGTTCGAGGCTACTTCGGCGATTACGTGGTCGCGAAGACAGACACTGGTAAGATGATTGATTCCATGCCTGAGGGCTCATGGGTGCAAACTCAGGCTGCCGTCATTGTTGACAGCCCTTCGGGCCCATGGCTCGCCCCCGTCGGAGATGGAGGCGCCATTGGTGACGTTCCTGCTGCTTGGATTCCCACACAAACCGTCGTCGTTCGCGGCTTGAAGGGCGAAATCAAGGGCCTGACCTACATCAACGAAGAAGGCACTGGCAAAGAGCAGGTTGCCTGGGAGTTCTCTCCACCAACGGGCTACGAGATCGTCAACATCGCAACCCGCCCTGTCCATGACCCTATTGCTTCCATCGGACGTGTTCTCGGCGACAGACGTGTCAAGTACAAGTACCTGAACCCCAACACCATTGTCGTTTCTGCCTACAGCAACGCCAAGTCTTCCCTCACCATCTACCTGGTCGACTCGGTCTCGGGCGCTGTCCTCCACTCCGCTACTCACGAGGGAGTCGATGGCGACAAGAACATCGAGTGTACTCTGGCCGAAAACTGGTTCGCTTGTTCGTTCTTCGGACAGTACGCTCTCAAGGACGACGCCGGACAACCTCTCTCTGGACAAACCCTGAAGGGCAACCAGATCGTCGTCTCTGATTTGTACGAGAGCGAGTACGCCGATGACAGAGGCCCGCTTGGTGATGCTGCCAACTTCTCCTCTACCGAGCCTGTCGATACCCCGACCGGCGTGCCCCTGCCCTCGGTCATTAGCCAAGCCTGGATCTTGTCTGCTCCTCTGGCCGCTCTTGCTGTCACGCAGACTCGCCAGGGCATCACCAGCCGCCACGTCCTAGGCTATCTGCCAGAGTCTCATGCCATCGTCAGTCTCCCCCGCCAGCTTCTGGAGCCAAGACGTCCAGTCGGACGTGACCCGACTCCCGCGGAGATGGAGGCCGAGGGTCTGATCAAGTACCATCCTGCCATTGAGATCGACCCGAGACAGGTTATCACCCACCAGCGCGACGTCATTGGCGTGCAGAAGATTATTACCTCGCCCACTGTTGTGGAGAGCACCAGCTTAGTCTTCTCCTACGGCGTCGACGTCTTCGGAAGCCGTGTCGCGCCTAGCTTTGCGTTTGATATCCTCGGCAAGGGCTTCAACAAGATTAGCCTGATTTCGACTGTCCTTGCGCTCACTGTTGGTGTCGCCGTTTTAGGACCCATCGTAAGTTTTCTGTCCTTTTCCCGCAAATGTTTCGAATCTCTACTTACCAAAGAATAGGTTCGCAAGAAGCAGACCAACTTGCGTTGGGCGTAGATAAAAGCATTGTATGATATCATGATATAATAGAGTCGTTTGAGTTTGTGTATTGACGGTCCTGCTTTTCTCCTTTGAATCGTCGTGATCTTGTGACTGAGTGCTGTTGTCGACCAAAACTTGCGGAATAAGTTGTTGTCGAAGATGCACCAGCACTGCTTTGCGAGGTATTTTGTGACTTGGCTGCATGAGACTGTACCTACATGTAGCCCTAGTCCCAGGCTTTGTTGTAGGTTGTGGCATTGATGCATCGGCTTGCTAATCTTGTTCTCGTTGGCAATAGTCTGATCTGTGGATCTTACTGGTTTTCTCAGCAGATGAGTGTAAGGATTAATATATCCAGGGACTCATATATCTAACGCTAATCCATGCTGGCCAAAACAATGAGTCACGGGTGCTATGGGTACAAGCTATGAGAGTCGGAATTTATCTGTTTGCCATAAGCATGTATTAAGGATCAGTTGCCAGGATGACGCCTGAGTGAAATCGGTAATGGCTGCAGCATTTTACTCAATTGAACGCAACTTCGGCCTTCCAGTCGATTGACTGACCTTTTAATCTCGCGATTTTGGCCGAGTTTTTGACACCGCCTTCTCCTTATTGTTAGCATACACGTGTGACGTCAGGAGTGCAGGGTCTTACGGCTACCTACTAAGTAGCGATATAAAGGTCGACAACATGTATTAAATTACGTACAGATATCAAACAGGGAAGGAATAGATGAAGCTCATCAATTGCTTTGGAGTAAAAGTAGGTAGCTGAAAGGCCGTTTGTAACGGCCTAGACTACCTTGCAACCTCAAAGTTTTTGTCCATATTCTACTTCTCATAAGTCTGCTAGATTGGTTGATAGAGTTGGTCAACTATATCAACTTGGTACTGGAAAGAAGTCATTTTCAGTGCCCGTTTGCTTCTACCTAGCTACCACCATGGCGGTAAGACTTTTAATACATAATGATAGTGTCCAGGCTTGAAAACCATGATGAAAGCGGAATGAGTTGAACGCCACTGGCGTTCGCGGTAGACTAGATTTCTGTCTCCCTCAAAGGCAATAAGATGGATATCGGCCCCTCGGGAGCTTGGGCTTGGAGAGCTTAGCCGGTTACCGCTGACTCAAACCTTCACAGAACGGAGATGCGAACTTCCCCAATATTTGTAGACTTGTCACATAAGTACCTGATAGATGACAGCAAGGACTGAGGTACTCCTTAGAGCTACGTGCCAAAGTCTGTATCGCATTCTTTCGTGTTCAGTATTGCCATGAAACATGGTTCCCAAAGTACAGAAATAAATCAAGCAACTTATTGTGAGCAATCAGTTCAGGCAGCCGTCATATTGATCGAGATTTAGACTCATTGCTTTCGTCTTACACTCGCGGTATGAAAGCCACGTTTTAATCACTTCATATGTATGTTTAACGCATGCCATGATACTTCACACTCAACAACGCCGTAGAACATTGCGATTTAAGGTCTGTTTATGTCGGGCCATTGAATGTTATTCAGGGGTTCTGACCTCAGCTTTGCACAATACCCTAGAGCATTGCCCGAAATGTGTTGAACAAAAATAGATTACACATGAGCTAGGTTTTCTGATGAAATTGCTATTATACTGAGACAAAAACCTCACAACCAGTGGGAACTACTCTTTTGAACCAGCAAGAAGTCTTATACGTTGTCTTCCATACCCCATCGATGTTACAGATAATGTCCAATCCCACTTTGTTCTCTTTGCAACTTGCAAGCAACAATGGGGTTAGGCAAAATAAGCCTAAAACATCATCCCGCTGTTCGACTATGGTCCATCTGAAGCTGCCATTGACCTTTCGTCTGAACAGCCAGTTCGGCTTTCACGTTTCCAGGACAAACATCAGATGTAAGCTACAACTCATTCATTACGTAGCAAGGCTTTGCATATTGGGAGTACCGTCTCAGCCTATTGGTTTTCTGACCTCCGTTTCGGTGAAACATCACGTAAGGCTCCATTGTAGATCGAAAGCAGTGTCAGAAAAAAAAGTAGAACATGGCAGTGTCACAGGACGCAATCCTGCGCCTAAGAAAGCAGCTGAATGCGCTATTTTCTTTCATATGATCTCCGCGACGCCCAAGGCAAGAGGCGGTTGTTGGTGATTTTGCAAGCCAACGGTGTAGCCTCTTTTCAGGTGAGGCGGAATGGAGGCTGGGAAGCCCAATCACCCCCGCCATTAAGCAGGCTATATTTGAAAACCCCCAAATCATCGAGTGCAAATGCCACAATTCGAGCACTTTGACAATTATTGAAGCACCTTGTATATCGGTTGTTATTGAATCTTGTGCCTTTCGTTAGCATGTAGTGACACGTGATTGGAACTTACGTTTTGGCGGGCGTAGACCTTCGTCACCTTTCCCAATAGAACGCACCAAGACTGCACCTCATGAAGCTAGACCCGCCCCAGTGAGAGCTCTGAAGGGCAATTGAGGGGGTTATGAAGATCTAGTGTGATCTGGTTGCATTAGTGGAATGGTTGCCTTACATGGTGGAGAATCATGAGAAGCGACTTGACGATGCTTTACAACATACGCATCCCAAATTCCAGGCGTGCGGTTCTTTTGTTACGTTGGCAGCGCATTGACCCTTGTCGATGACAGCACTTAATGCAATACGAATGTGGGGGTTTAGATAAGTAAATAATCCATCCCAACGGGCACATTTCTCTGGTAACATTTCCCCTCAAAGGGCACTGCCAAATTGGAGTTATTCACCCAAGTGAATGTCACTGGTGTCTATGTGTTGGATTTGAACGCCATATATTCGAAGTCATTCATGAGATATTCAACTCATAGCTTGACACTCGGACACGGGCCACTCATGACAAGGGTGCTTGCCTTCGTAGGCGAAAACGAGGTGGCTGGTGTGATATCCCTGACTCCTAGATGAATGTTCTGTTCACCGCTCTAAGCACAGCATTTTAGAAGAAGTACTAGCCAACACTTTTGAGCTATCGCCTTGGTTATCATGACTGGTCCTGGTTAAACCAACGAATGACAGAACACATGATTAAATGATCAAGCGCGCTTATCGATCGCATCTTAAGACTGTGCCGTTATTGCCTGGCCCATTGTTAGCGTCTTTCTTTCCAAGGTCGGCACGGGACTTTGAAATTACCTTAGAGAGAGAATGACTCACCGCAAGTTCAAGGTAAAAGTGAGATATCGGTCACCTCCAAAATGCAGGTGTGTTCATAGACGCATAAGATTGCAACGTGAGGTCACTGTATGCACTGAAAGACGCCTGGTTGCCTGCTCATGAAGTGCAGAGGGCATTTTCGTCAATTATAAGTGGTCTCACATGCTTCACCTCGATATGAAATTGAAACCCATTGATTCACAAATCAATCTACAGGATCTTGACTCTGCCATGTGAGGTGCTGTAGCAACCGGTCCCACAGACCTTGAGTTTTTATACTTGAGGACGCCTTCAGTATCTAGATGACGCCAGAATGTACCTCGTAAACCTTTCGTGTACCACTTGAAATTATTCGGTCAAGATCTCATGCTTAACAAGCTGAAACGTCGTACTACCCGATATTTGTTAGAGCGGACCAAGTTGAACACCATTGCACCAATATGCACTTATGTATGCACTTCGAGATCAACGTCAGACGAGAGCGCCAATTTCAATATCCACGCGCATACATGCAATTTTGCGTGTGACTGCTGTATCACAAAGCAGGATATGCCCCTCGTGTTCGCACCGGAACACCTTCCGCTGCGGGATACCTTGGTTACTCACGTCGGGACTCGGGTGAATGTGACGTTCTCAACTTCTTACCGCGGTACTATCAGCAAAGCAGGATAAGCAACCAAGTCCTAGGTCACGAAGTAGTGGATCGCCTTATCTGAAACTTGATGTCTTGATTAACATGCCTACGTTCGATGAGTGAATAGAGGCAGACCGGATGCCTTGCGAATCCTCATACGTCTACTGGAGGACGGCAGCCCTGGTCCCTACACGTTCCCGTGCCCCGGACCAAGACGCAACGTTCTCGAGATGGATTGAAGATTCGCAAGGTACATCCCAGCGATCAGTCTCCATCCAATGCCAAAACAGACAATTCGGCTGCCTAGAAATCCTTGCCATCACTGATCTGACCCCGACCTTCTGATATTCACCGAAGGTATACAATGCTAGGCACCTCCTCCTCACAAAGCCACAAGGTCCTGAAGATCCTTCATAAGCCAAGGCTAACAACGTGTTTGCCTTATCCCGCCTGAATCTCGACTTTCTTCTTTACCTTCTCAAACAGCTTCTGTAGCATTTTGTGATTCGAGACTCGTCGCATTCCACCACGATCGTCGTATATGTCCAAGTGCCGACACCAATGCCCAGACTAACGCGAGGGAAGACCACTAGGAGTCTGGTATCGAGCTGGGGCTATCCCGGGTCGATGGACCCCGGTCCCCGGGTGAGGCGGACGGATGCGGGCGCGCGGAAAGAGGGCCCGTTGAAGAATCACATCTATGTTCCCAACGCTCCAGGGTTAGGCGGACAATTTCGAGCTATAAGTTCAGACGTACATCCAGCGTGCGTATTCGTACGGAAACATCGTGTCATTAGCATTGGTATGGATTCCCCGAAAGATCCTGGACTCCTGGATGCCCAACGGCCCTAAGCGGCGACCATCTGCCGACCAATGGCCAGAGGTCTTATGCCCAATACCCTGCGGTCCTTGACCATTGCAGTTTGATATGCATTAAGACCCATGCTGACTTCCAATATGCGTCAGCGCTCCAAGATGGGCTCTAATCAGACGTGCGTGGCTTATGGGGCTGAGCTGTGCCATCTGAAGCCCATTATGTGGCCTATGTTCCATTGGACGAGGACGCTGTCTTAGGGTCGAATCAACTTTAAATTGCCTGTGATGTCCTTCATGCCTTGAAACTGAATGACGATGAGAATCCCAATAATACTCAGCCAAGGTAGTAAGCAAACACCACAACAAGAAGGGTGAAAAGGTACCTTGTTACCCTTGGGCTCTCGTGCGTGGCCGCCATCTTTGCCCGAGCAGAACATTGGAGTTGCAATGCAGCTATTCTACCCACCAGTCCGATCGAACCGGCCTAAACTGATTGGCTCGTAAGCCCTGTTTCGCCTTGATTTCAAGTATAGGTCTTATATCGGGTCAGAGATGGGCTCATCTTCCAGTGTCCACCTGATATCCTTCGAATAGCCAAATGCCACGATCGCAAACACTGCACGATGTCGGCAGTACAGAAGGAAATCCTCATATCGAAGACACTAATGTCCGTGTTGAAGTAGGCGTCCCGTAGGGCAGCAAGTGAAGCATGATGCCACGATGTGCGGCAACGTGTTGACTTGAGCGACGGATCATGGACGTCTCGACCGAGAGACCGGTGGAATTGCTTCAAGGCGTACGGGAGGCTTTTCGGTGGGTAAGCAATTCGTTGCCAGTGTTTCACTCTTCCTCGTGGCGTTGTTGATCCGTGGAGGGTCATTATCGTCTTGGGCTCCAATTAAGCCCCGAGGAACAGCAGGCTGAGGGCTGTCTATATGCCTTTTGACGGACCGAGCAATGTCTGGGCCGGGATAGTCTCCAGCGCGAGACCGAATGCCCCGATGAATGGTGGACAGCAGAAGTCGTTGCGCGCGCTCGTGTGACATCGGTCTGATCTCCTTATATGTCAAGCCCTGACCCAGATGGTGAACGTTTCGCGGGGGAAACCTGGAGCACCAATCAACTTTCGCAGTCAGACGTTGAATGATCTCGATATATGCCTATCCGGGTCCTGCTCCCACTCAGCGTTGAGCCATTCGCAGACATCCAAGGGCAGCGATAGGCATGGTGGCGTTAATGAAGTGTAGCTTACTGGGCAGATGGGCTCCGAACGGGGCGAGTGGCACACAAGAAACCGGTCTTTGAACAGCCCCGTAAGGAGCTCCGTCGATCGGGTCCGAGTAATACGATCCACTCATCGAAATCACTACCGAAAGCCTGAGATGTTTATCGCGCCGGCAGCCGCCTGCAAGTAGCCGCTGTATTCCGTAGACGTCCCCCGAATCGGGACATGTTAGAGTCGTACACAGTACGAGCCAAGATGGGCATATTGGAAGAATGTTCATTCGGGAAAGTTGCTTCGGTCAAGCTGACAAGGGCACCACCACGCTCATGGAAACCAAGGTCTTGCCAGCCTTACAGTAAACCATTGTTGCCCACTGCAAGTGCCTATAATAATTAATACGGGAAGTGAAGTGCTTCCCCGGGCATCTCGACAAATAGGATGACATCCGTGACTTGCAGCGGCATGAGCGGTAGAGTAGCCGTACAGGGATAGCTCAGTATTGCGGAACACTTGCAGATACGTGAAGTCATCACGAAAAAGAAATAATAAGTCAGGGGCAGACATGGCTTAACCCTTGCGAAAAGATCGCCCCCAACTGCGCACACCTTTTTTCTCACCCATGATCATCCCTGAGGGCTTGTGCTCCGTAAGGCGACTCAATACCCAACGCATATTAGATAATGGAGATGAGGCCGGAGTAAGGGAGGTCATGAATTTGGTTTGATTGCAAGACGGGGGGTGGGATCGGGGGCGCAGCACCCAATTGAAAACTGTTTGCAACCTTGATGACCAATGGACTGCCTAGGAAGACGTGAGCGTCGCAAAACGGGAAGCCCCTATTGGGACAGTTGACGCCTTACTAGCATAAAGAAAAACGGGCGCCAGCGCCCTCAGGAGTGAAGCCCGAGTGAAGCCAAGGCTACTAAAGATAGTTGGTTTGCCTATCGATTCGACAACAGGGTATGAAAGCATTCTTGAGATATTCAGGGCATAATGGGTGTAGCCAAGGGAGAGATAGGTGGGGAGACGACCAATTGAATTGTAGAGGAATGGTTTGATATGGTTACCCTGCGACCCCAGTCCGTTCTGGATTACAAGGGTGTTTATTGAAGACGTCTGCCTTGCAGAAACAAACTCAAGGGAAGACTCATAGGTACTGGTACTGGTATGGAACTGCCTGAGACGTCGTACCGGGTCTCAAAGGCAGTTCGACGCATTGAGGCAACCAGGTGGCCAGCCTTGCGGCATGTCGATGTTGGATATTAGCGTGTCGATTGCATATGGTGCTCATCCGTCATAACTCGGAATGTCGGTAGGCGGCCCCCGGATCAGTAAATCGTGTCTAAGGTAAGACGCGATCAATGGCCTTGACGGTGAAAGGCGCTTGCTCATGAGCCGTCACCGTCCGTGGCTGTTCGTGAGGCGTCGCGTTGCCCGCAAGCTTGCTCAGTATCAACCAACCGCAGACAGGTTCTTTGAATGAACACAGGTTTGCTGGCGCGGTTTGCTGCTGACCGCCCCTCTCCTGTCGATTCGCCCTTAATCCTAGATCGCGTCTGGCGAAATTCCTTTCTACCGACGGCGCAGTGCCGTTGGTCACGACCTCATGCCTCGCTACCACACAGGGCTGAATGCCGGGTCCAAAACGGGGCCGGTGAAGACGCCTTGCTGCCTTCACCAGCCTAGTCATCTAGCCGAGATAACGAGGTGTCGCTTGGCCGGGAACAGCTTCAAAGAGCTCCTCACCAACAGGCGCCGGGCGCCTTGGGCAGGTCACCGGTTCCTTCGACCCAAGCAACGTAGCCAAGTCGGGTCGAGATGCGTGATGGGGCGCTTAGACGGTCAGGCGCATAGTTTGCCTGTTAAGGCAACTCGATTGTGCCTCAATATCAGGAGACTCCCATGACGCCTCGGTGAGGAAACTTTGAAGACGAACAGTAGTCTGCGGCGTAACGTTGGTAGGGTAAAGCTTCTGGCTTTGTCTTGTTGTTCAATGTCGGGAACGGATGTTGGGTGTGGAGATTATGACTGCCAAGCTGCATCGAGTCTCCCCACGGTAAGGTGATGCGGTGACTCAGGAAAAAAACATGTGCTTTGTTTATCGATTTCAAATTCGGCATCGCGTTCAGCCTGCAGAATCTCGGAGTCAGCTCTGATAACATGCCACAGCGACTGGTGATGAAGATGTTGACCTAGCTAAAGGCCATAGGAGATGATATTTCGCTCAGCCCACGTACTCGGACCTTGCTTCTTTTAATAGGGCCACAGCGGAATGAAACATTCAAATGCCGCCGAGCCACACCGCGGGTGATAAGGGGAGGCGGCATGACGTTTTCATCATGGGATTGCGATTGGGGATTTGGACCAATTAATCGTCAAAGTCACGGCAATGGCATTGGCGAATCACGAATGACCATGCTAACGGGAAAGGGTCACCAGGGTGTCAATTTCGGTTCCACTTGAAATAAGGTAAAGGAATGTTGGTAGATGCCTCATAGGATGGCTGCGGAAACAGCGGATCTACATGGCAGGGATGTGGCCTGGACCTACTAGGTAATTTGGGGAACGAACGGATACCTGTGTTCCCGTTCCTTGCAGCTACGTATGGTGCTAACCTTATTCATGGATGACTTCACTTGAGTTCTAAGCCATCTCAATGTTTCGATACAGTAATATTCGAGAGTACCTAGAATTGATGTGATCATGTTCAAATTAAAGTCAATTCCTCAAGGAAATATGTGACGCAGGCAAGACACGTGCACCTATCGCACATAGCCTCAACTTCGAAGCGTGTAAGTACGTAGATTGCACTGAGTTCGATAGCATAGGGTACCGGGGTGGTGACAAGAGCGAGGAAGCTCTTTGGAAACAACGCACAGTTCCTCACAAATTCTTTCCAGACACGAATGATGACAGCGCATGTCATTGAAGTAGCCTCAACTCACCTCATTTAAGACGTAGACCCTCAGGCCTCACCCAAAATGTTGGATAGGTAAACTGCGGTTCCGACGCTAGCCAGCGGCATGTCGGCCTGGCCTCATTCTTTCTGACCCCTTTCGTGCGGCAAACAGTTGGGCGGCACATAGCATTGGTTGGGCCTTTATCACGAGCAAGGTTCGCTTATCCAATGCTGCCTGCCACGTAGGCGGCATGATGCAGTTCTTGTAATTTTGACTGGATTGATACGCCAAGGAGTTAAAGTCATATATGATTGCTTACGCCTGTATTCTTTGAATGAATTGCATAGATAGTAAGGCACAGCTTGCCATTCCAGGATGGTTGCTGACTTGCTATGCGGCTACATCCAATTGTTAATTTGTTATAGTATTGCACATTCTTAGTAAGTTGATGCGTGCGGGATAAATGTTGCTCTTGTACCGGATGTAAGCCTTTGCGTTTTCAAGACGTTTAGAAACGGTCACCTCGAACGGCTTCTGACTGGAAGCAACCACAATGCGCATGTATGATGTTGCTTGAGATCTATGTTCCACTCTATGCATGTGCTGGATCCAGGATCTGAAGCTAAGATTTAGCCCTGTTTTATTGGTTTGTTCCGTTGGCTTGCTGTATAACAACAGTTGGTTGTATCATTATAACAACGAAAAAGCTAGTCCGATGACATGGAAAGTATTCTGTTATCTGGTTTGAGAATTAAGAACCACATATCTTGACATGGACCAAATTCTAGAATGTTCCTGATGATTGAAAATCGTTTGACGTGTTAGCAGCCGTAAGTCCGCAAAAGCCGGTGGAAGATCTTTGGTTGTATGACATTCGACATTGGCTTCTCAGTCTATAAAGCCTCAGGCCGCTCTAAGATCCTCGACAAGGCTTGAAAATTTGCCAAAAGAAAAAGTTGGGGCTGGAAAGGTACTCTGCAGTCGTTAATGCATAGTACCATTTTGTATGATTAGTTTCGCTTGAAGTGATGTAAACCTGTCAGCGTGGAGAAGCCTTGTTCAGGGGGTTTGATCTAGCCTCGCAGCTTTCGCCAATCATTGTGGTCAAAATCAAGACTCCAAGAGTCATGAATGCAGCTAATAGAATCGACCACACCATCATGCGTTGCTGTTGAGAGCTCTGCAATGGTTGGTGATGATGCATTCTGCCTCTGCTGCCTGGGAGTTGCCCCATCGTTGAGCAAACCCCTGCCTCTTGCTTACCCCTGAGAGCCTCAAGGAAGCTGACATTAGTAGGCAGTGTAGGCAGACGCAGCAAATAACGAGATTCACAGGCCACCTCACATGACACTTCACTCCGAACCATCGGTGTAGAAAAAGCACCAACTCGTTCCAGATGCTTCGAAAACATTGAAGGCAACTGGAACCTTGGACTAAGACAGCGATGAATCTTGATATCCAACCTCAGCCCAGAGTTTCAGATGGCTTATGTGAACGTCTTCGAACGCCTGATCCAACGGAGTTCCACAGGTCTGTGATTGAGCAACCAGCCACACGGGGGTCGGAAGAATTGGCCGCTTTTGTCAGGCTCGGTGCTTAGAAACCCGGCCAAATTCTCTATCCCCCGCATGCCAGCTTTCTTTGCCCCCAGAAGGCCCGAATATGTCTTTGTACGGAACGAAGACATCGTCGTTATGGGTCCAGTCGGCATATGAGTTACGAGTATCGGTCATGTCATCAAGTCAGCAGCTCAGCCACCCTTGATCAACGCTGTCGAGTTGCCTTGTCTCCTAACGTATCTACAAGTCTATCAGCTTTCAGCTGTAAAAGGGGTAGTGTTCGTGGAGAAGGCCTCCAAACCATGTCATGATATTGGCCACCAGAGTCGACCTCGCCGCTCGATCAACCCACCCGACGGACCGACACGAGAGTCGGGATTTGATCAATTCCGTCGAGACCGCAGAAATTTCGTTGAGTGGTGGGCAGTACGAGAGTTTTATGGGGTTCTAAGTATATGCTCGTAATTGTTGCGTTGCTTCACAGCAGTTCACGGAGGTGCCGGCATACGACTCAGCACACCGGGTGTGGCTGAGTTTTCGTGGCGTCGAGATTGGTCGCCACATGACCTGGACAGATTTGTCAGAGCAAGAAGACGACAGAATCGAAAACCCATGGCCGGAAGCAATTGGTTTGCCACGAAGCCCTTAACTTCAAGGACATTTCACGAGCCCATCTCCAGCACAGAAGATGAAGATGTCTTTGCGCTGAAATGTTCATGTAGCTGTAAATCCAGTCGAGTGGTAATTCAGCGCAGCCCTGCCCACTTGGACGAATAAGAGTGCTTCTGACAGGAACCAATAAGACACCTCAAGAATCGCATCCATAAGTACCAATACCATCGAAGCCTGATGATAGCAGAATAAAGGAAAAAAACCTGGCACGCCTGGCTGCCAGAAGTTGGCCTGGCTGCGCAACTTCGGCGCCGAAGGCTCAATGTGGATAGTGAAATTAGGAGCCTTGTCCTACATCCACGCACGTGTATTCTTCATGAACGGGGAAATGTAGAACGTATGAGA